AACAGTATAAGAATGCCAATTATTCAGATATTTTCATTATGATTCAGTGTTTTTGTGATGATATAATTTAACAGCTGCGAAAAGTGTTTCTCTCCTTGGCAATATATGCTGTGGATTTGACGGAAAAGCTTGAACCAATACATTCAGATATTTTCAGAATTATTCATATCAGGAAAGGTTCTCACATGGATACTAAACTTTATCTAGTTATTCCAAATTACTGTTAAAAAGATTATACAGCATAATTTTGCCTAATTGGTCGCAATATATTCAATGATAAAAAATAAATAGGACAATAAATGCCTAAATTCTAGTTATTGAGAGGTTAGAAGTCAATTTTTCAATTATTTTTCAGAAAATATATGTGGATGATATATCTAGTGAAATTTTGCATTGAGATTCATGTGAGAGCCTATAGCGAGGAGCCTAGGCTACAACAGCATCGCCAAAAATGGCATGGATTCGTCTCAAAGGTAAGTTCCCTACTACCTATACAGGGTCTATCAACGAAAACTTGACACGACCCTCCCACACTAAGAAAAGTTGATAGCTATATACAGGGTGTAAATTTGAAAACTTTCAATGCGAATATCTCGCGAAAGAAAAAAGTTAGAAAAACGCCGTTTGGCAAAAATGCTAAAGAGTTAAGGGGAACTAGAACCACCATATTTCGGTCAAGGGATAAGTCACCCCGTCGGCGCGACACACCCCAACTTTGAAATGTCAAATCGCACTACCTCTTTTGTGACACCTCAAATGAACGGTCTCAGTCAGTAGTATTCATCTGTACAAGACTTATTTTCCACCCACTACAGGGTGAACGGAAAACATAAAGTCGAGTAAAATAAAATGCAGAATGCCGATATATTCCAAGAGATGTGTTCCAAAATGTTAGAATGGCATTTGAACATCGATTATACTATTGCTTACAACAGAATGGAATGCATTTTGAACATCTGATTAAATAAAATATCCTCTTAACACAATTCATTTTATTTTATTCGACTTTACATTTTTCGTACACCCTGTAGTGGGTGGAAAAAAAGTGTTGTACACAAAAGGTAGTGCCATTTCAAAGTTGGGGTGTGTCGCGCCGACGGGGTGACTCATTTCTTGACCGAAATATGGTGGTTCTAGTTCCCCTTAACTCTTCAGCATTTTTGCCAAACGGTGTTTTCCTAACTTTTTTCTTTCGCGAGATATTCGCATTGGAAGTTTTCAAATTTACACCCTGTATGTTAATGCAATGTTGAAGCAATCACTGAAATGGACGTTCAGCAATATTGCGAAGTTGAAGTTTGATAATGTAGCGATGCAGCAATATTACATGTTGCTGTGACATTGCTGAAACGTTACATTTACAAATTTACATTTGCAATATTACTGGAAGTCCGTTTCAGTAATTACTGCAACCTTGCATCAACATAGCTTCCAAATTTGCTTAGTGGGATGATATATGGGTATATAAAAGTTCCGATTTGAAATTGATTGGTTTCAATTTGAATTTGTTCTGTCTGAATTTGCGAATTGGGATTCATTCATACCTTGCCTGAACATTTCGTCCCAATATGAATTGGATTACTCCCATTCAGAAAGTTTTTGAATGTGTAAAATCCATGCTGAATCATTTCAGTCCCAATTTGAAGATGTTTATTCCCAGAAGAATTAAAAAAAAGTTTGTATCATTGTTTGCAAGTTAATGAAAGTCATGTGAACTATATACATTGAATAAAACTTCAATTTTGCGTCAGCTTTTTCAATTGTAGACTATTTTATTTTTGGTGAATTTATCAAGAGAGAGCAAAGAACAGAGATGTGTGAATATATGTAGTAAATGAAAAGCTTTAAATTGATGGGCAATTTTGGTTAGAAATTAAACCGAGACTGTCGGTTTGTCAATTATTGTCAATTATTGTTTTTTTTTTATCGATTGGAGCGCACGAAAGGGAATCCCTATAATGTTCAAAGAACATCGTGCGTTCCTAGGAGGGATAGGGACAGGAGGTAGGTATTGGAATTTTTTTTGAATTTTTTGAGATTATAATTATGTTGTTGGGAATACTTCCACAGGCAATGAATTCCAAAATCTCAACCTATTTCCAAAAACTATGCTCCAAAGAATTCGCAATAGAAAGGGATTTAAAATGATGTGTTGAAAGTACGGTAGTTTCTATTTGGGGTTGCTAGTGGTTAGTTGGGGGATGTACAAGGATTCGGCTTTCTAGTTATAGGGATGGGGGGCAAGTTTTCGTTGGTAGACCCCGTTTATTGTGTCATAGTGAGAAATCTTTCAAAAATCATACCATAATAAAATTTGGTTATTTATTCATGTCAATTTTTTTTGAGAATCAATTTTGAATTTACATCTAAAAGCGTATTTCAATTATTAATAATTTTTTTCTTCTCTTATAACTAGAATGGCATTTTGCGAACGGATATGTAGGTACCACGCTGAATGATCGGTTAATTATAGATTGATGATCTGTGATTCATTCAAAAAATTAAACACGTTACCGTGACAACACAATTTCTTAAACACATTACCATATGGCAACTGATTTTTCAAATACACCTTCAGTCGTTCGAGTCCTGTCCGGCATGCCAATTGTATAGGAACTGTCAACTGTCATTTTCGAATTTTGTTGCAATCAGGATTATTCAAACAATTACTGTTTGTATCAGGATTCTACATTGAAAATGTATACGAAATGTGGACGAAAGTGAAATCATCGAAGAGAATTTTGAGCTCTCATCTTTGTGGACAATTCATTCTATGCTAAGCTAAACATGACAATAAACGTCAAACACAATATTAATATGAGCAAAATTATGCAATCAAAATATGGATACAAACCTCGAAGTGTTTTTATCTACTACGTTCAGATGAAATCTTATTCACAAAAGTCATCAGTAAACAAGCCATTTTAATAGAAATTCATTTATCCTATGGACTGGACGCACATCTACACATAATATAACTTATACGTGTCTCGTTGGTTGCATGCATTCTCTTCGAACTATTTTGAAGGGAGCATGTAAAGGTTATTCTAATTTTCGGAATTATGGGATCTTGTCGAAGAGAGAAATTATGAGTTTGTAGAAAAAGTATAGTATGTAACGCGTTTCATAAACCCTTCTAGACACTCGTTTATTAAAAACTTCCTCTGCGTTCCTGCTCAAAATACTCGTTACTAAAGTGACTTGTTAAAAAACATACAATATGCTACCTACTATATACAGTTTTATAATTTTTATTATAGATTCAACCTTTTGATTTTAAAATAGACGGTGAAAGAGGGATTTTTTTTGTGATCATATCTATCTCGATTGTAAATTAATGCTTTTAGGTGACCTTCACCTTTGTTTTCAATTGATGCATAATCACGCGTCTGCTCATCTGGAAGCAAAAAATTACTTATATCCGATCAATTTCATTGAAAAAAGATATATTATAACGTTGTCAACCTTCGCAAAATATTATAATAATATGGTGATTTTTTTTATTATTTCGAGCACACAAAAGGAAATCCTTATAGTGTTTGTGAAGCATATCTTCCGGAAAATATTCAATTGTGGTTCAAAATATACCTTGCTCAGCCCTATTCAAGAATATTTTTTTGTATTGTTTTTCTTTACCTTATACAGGGTGTATCTAAAAGAAATTTTGTTGAAAATTATGGACAGTGGAATATTCCTGAATGGTCGAATGTCTTGTTTACGGATGAGTCAAGGTTTTGCCTTAACATAGTGGATGGAAGAAAAAGAGTGTGGAGAAGAACTGGTGAACGGTTTAATCAAAATTTAGTAACAGAATGCGAAGTTTTAATGGTGGGTCCGTTATGGTGTGGGGAGGGATTTCAATGAATGGAAAGACACCCCTTCATGTTTTTCCGGTGAGGCAGTTGATGAATGCCCAAATTTACATTGACATTTTAGAGCAGTATGTCTTACCTTATGCAGAGTTAGTGGGCAATAATTTTATATTGATGCAGGATAATGCCAGACCACACACCGCAGCAATAGTGCAAAACTTCTTAGAAGCTACTGGTATTACCACATTACAATGGCCTGCGAGAAGCCCCGATATGAATCCTATAGAACATTTGTGGGATGAATTAGGGAGAAAGGTACGTTCTCGCGAGAGGTCTCCGGAAAGTCTCGTAGAAATGGCAGATGCATTAGTGGAAGAATTGGATCGTATACAAATGGAAACGATAAGCAACTTAATTTCCAGTATGCCTCGTAGAAATGGCAGATGCATTAGTGGAAGAATGGGATCGTATACCAATGGAAACGATAAGCAACCTAATTTCCAGTATGCCTCGTAGATTAGAAGTTCTTAGAGTTGCTAGAAGAGGCAATACTCGGTATTGAGCAGTCATCCCAATTTATAATGTTGTGTTTAATGAAAATGGTTTTCAAAATTATTGGTATCAGTTTATTTCATTAGAAAATTGTTTCCCGATAAATTCAGAAAGTTGGTATTCTGCAAGGATTCAGCAAGAAAAGCTGTAATTCGGAAAATTTTAGAGATAAATCAATGAATAAAAAAACAATATGCTCGCAAAAGAAGCCTCTTTCGTATAGGGTGTAAGCACTTTCTATGCCATTACTCAATTAACACACATGGTGAGTCAAAAATTAAGAATAAATCATGGTTCGAGTTATTCCACCACCATCAAGGAGACTTTGAAAAAATGTTTACCTCTTCATTTTTTCCCAAAGGCAAATGCATTACCTACCAACAAATAAAAAAAAATAAAAATCGGCGTGCTATTTTTTTTTTAAGAAGATAGGTCAAATATCAAGTGCGTCACTTTTTTTGGAACTGAGTGTATGTACTTTATTTCGTAAAATATTACAAAGAATCACCTCTTGAATTTTTTTGGTACTATTTAGATACACCCTGTATGGTAGGGCTGAAATTTTTCCAGTTTCCTTCATCCTGTAGCACAATAATTAATATTGTATAATAATTATAATCGATATTCATTATTTTTAGGTATTCTTCCTACAAGGTCCATAATATGGATGATGGTGTTCACTTGTACCCTCTTCCTTTACATGTTGAGGATAAATCTCTCCATCATAATCCTAGCAATGGTGGAACCTGTCAAGAGCAATAACAACAGTGTGTTCGTACCGGAATGTAAAAAAATCACTGGAAGCTTGACAAATAGCTCAGAAAATGTCGATCACACTTCAGTCGTACCAGATGTGAGTATTTTTCTATGCTTACAAGGCTTCACCACAGCTTTTGATCTTCTCAAAAACGTTAATCCCATATTTGGAGTGCAGCAACCAAACCCTGAACTGGTGGATTTTATCCAAAAAAGGGCATTCGTCTCGTGGGTGATGCCTCGCTCACAAACTCACTCACTTCTCTGGAACACCGTAGAAAAGTTGGCTATCTGGCTCTATTTTATAGATATTTCCATGGACGATGCTCTTCTGAAATATCAACAATTGTTCCTCCCTTGGTAGTCCCCGCGAGATTAACCCGTCGAGTTGAGGCTTCGTACCCCTTCGTGGTCACTTTGGAGACCTGCAGAACATCTCTTTGCAAAGACTCGTTCATCCAACGAACATCAAGGCTCTGGAACATATTGCCAAGGGAGGTGTTCCCCGAGGCATGTAACCTCCAGAAATTTAAGAAGAAAACCAATGCCTACCTTATTTTCATTGGTTCTCACGATGCTCGCTGAACATTACAGGATAGCCCTTTTCGTGGGAACCATCAGAACATGAAAAAAACAGTATATCACCTGACGAAGCTACTGTGTTAGTGAAACATGTCGTGTGTTTGAGAATTTTGTGGAAATCTTATCGTTTGTGAAGTTTTTACATTGGCCATGAATTTCCATCAAGTAATGGCGAGTCAATTGAAGAATTTAAAAAAAAAAGTTGAAGATTAATGAGTATCCGGGTAGGGTACCTCGGGATTGCCTTCTCCGTACCCACAATTCTTAAGTCCCTGAGGGAATGAGCTATTTATTCATTCATCATACAGGACGTGGAAAGAAATTCTGAATTGAGAAATACCTAATCACGAATCTGCGATTGAGGTCTATAAAAATAATAATTTTTCATCGTTCAAGTTTGGACCCCTTGATTGGGAGAAAGCATTGAAAAGGAACATTCTCAGATATATTCATGAACACAAAAAAATGGATATATGTATATAAAGAATATCATTGAGAATTCGCATTCTCCATATGTGATGAAAATATCAATTCTTTCACGGTTTATTCAACAGAAAACAACTACTTTACTGGCTATATGCCACGACGAATATTCAATTACATCTATTGAACACACTCGATGATAATTTGAAAACAAAATCTCCCGAAGTAGAGAATTTGCATTCTCCTTCATATAAAGATATGCATATAATATAATTCTCAGATTTCAGTTCGTTATAGTTTTAGTTATATTATAGGGAGATGAAAATTGTGTATATCATGAAGAATGGCTAAAAGAATAACTGGACTTAAGGTTACTGATGAGGATATGATATCCGAAATGAATTCATATAACCTGTTTGTGAAAGATATAATTGCCATATCACTCTGATACGATTGATTTTTTTTTAAGTTCCAAGCTCATCAAGATCAGAGTTCATACAAGTAATACTTCTCCTTATTATTCTATTCGATTTGAGAGATGATGTTGATTCTCAATTCCAGAGGATTTTGATCTTTCATGCTCTCTTTTTGTATATTCAACAGATATAATTCAATGTTCGACGTGGCAAATAGCCAGGAAAGTAGTTGTTTCTGTAGTTGTTTTCTGTTGAATATTCAGAATTATATTATCTGCATATATCTTTTATAATATGAAGGAAATTCTCTACTTCAGAAGATTTTGTTTTCAAATTCTTATCGTGTGTGTTCAATAGATATAATTCAATGTTCGTCGGGGCATATAGCCAGAAGAGTAGTTGTTTTCTGTTGAATAAACCGTGAAAGAATTGATATTTTAATCACATATGGAGAATGCGAATTCTCAATGTATTTCTTTATATATATATATATATATCCATTTTTTTGTGTTTATAAATATATCTGAGAATGTTTCTTTTCAATAAGGTATAACAAATTATTACTTATTTCGCATTGGAATTGGAAAAAACCCGGCGTTTCAAAGAACCGCAATAACGTTCGAGTTCGAGACTCTTTCAAGAATGATCGATGTTTGCTCAATATCAATATAAAAGATGCCATAATCATAATGAAAGAAACTATTTTCCTTGTTGTGGTCAATTATCATTACTGTAAATGTTTGCCTTTGTGCATCTACTCTGTATTTATTTACTTCCAGAAACTGGCAAATGCTATCATTCATGTTATATATAAAATGTTAAGTAAGAGGTAATAATTGAAACTAATGTGAATGTATGATATCATATTTATTATGTAGTAAATGAATATAATTATTATTATTATTATAAATAAATTGATGACTTCCTTCCTTTATCGATTTCATGAATAAACTCTCTAATTTAATGAACAGATCAGCTAAAATTGAGGACACTCTGAAAAAAGCGTCAACTTACATCAGTAAAAGTCATTCGTTTAACTAGGCAGCAAAGTAGTAGATTGAATGCCGAGGCTGAATTCATAGCCGAGCGTAGCGAAGCTAGGAATCCAGCTATATAAGGCAGTCAATCTACCTTGCTGCCGAGTTGAACATATAATTTGTTCTCCGATTGTTCATAATGCTATATATCTCTTTATTTTTCCTGTAGTGTTCAATTAAAATGGAATTTGATAGAAATCGCAGTTGTTGGAATGGTTGGTTGATATGGAAATGTCCATAATAATTATAGTTTGACAATTCATGAAATTTCTGACAGTTGTGTGAAAAAATATCGGTATATTTAAATTATTATATAATGGACAGTGATAACGACCTGAAAGTACTTACACCTCCAGAAATAAGGGAGGTGACAAAAAATATAGAGTTGAATTTGTTGCCGGAGAGGTCTCGGATATGAAATATGAAGGAAATTATAAACGATTTATGGATTATTAATTTTGCTGATACATATCAATCAGCAAAGTAACCACTTTGCTGCCTAGGCAGAAAAAGTAACACTTTGTTGATTGATATGTGTCAGCAAAATTAATATTTGCTGCCAATCTGAGAAAAAATAATTTCTTTCTCGCTGATGAAGGATACCTTCTGGGTCTGAAACATGTCCCGCCCTTCTCGAATTCGAAATTGAACGTTGTGGAGACGACTTGGAGAGTTTTCATCATATTTCAATTCGAAGAATGTACCATACGCACTTTTCAGTACGGAGTCAGATATCCTTGGGATGGCAAACTGCAAGGGATCATGCTGGGCGCATATTTTTGGGGAGCCGTGATATCGGCGATCCCAGGGGGAGCCCTAGCAGAGCGATTCGGCCCTACGAGGTGCACCACGATCAGTTTCGTAGGTAGCGGAGTGTTGACCATGGTAGGACCCTGGACGGCTTCTTTGCATCCCTACTTGCTCATAGGGTCTAGGTTCCTGATCGGGGTGCTAGGGGTAAGTCTACTGACCATTATAAATACTTCTTTCTCCAAGCGGCAGGAAAAGTGTCTTTCCTGTGACAATTAACAAGCATTCAAGGTGTACTTTTACGCCCTAGGCAGGAAAAGTTTGTTGCTATGCAACATTCCAAGAAATCCTAATGAAATTGGTAATCAAAATTGACACTGACATTGGGTGAACAAGAACTGATGGAGTTTTCAACAAAAAATCTGCACAAAATGGGTTTCATAACATTTGGAGAAAAAATTATTTCACACGGCAGTAAATGTAGATTGACTGCCTAAAGCGGCGTTCACAACCAAACTTTTTACGTTTTGCTTTTTACGTTTCGTATTCTGATTGGTGAAGCAAAATCTGAAATTGAAATGACGCAGAAAGCTGAAAATATTCAGCTTTTTGCGTTGCAAGAAGCCATCGTCTGTGAAAATAGTAAAAATAGACGAATAATATGGAACATCCTGTGATAATATGGAAGTTATGATAATGTTTTCATGATTTTTTCGTGAATCCACAGAATATAGTAGATAGGTATATTGTTCAATTCATTATTTTCTTGTTGAAGATTGATTTTTCTCTTCAAGTATTGAATAAGGATCAATTTTCGTCACCGCCAGTTCTATCAATTCAATATAATTAATTATCTGATCAATATTATTGTTATGATTATTTACTTCATTTCAGGATGAAAAACAAGTAACAAAACCAAGGCAACTGAGCCATAAGAAGTCACGTTGATTTTTTTGTTGTTGTGAATGATATTTGCGTTGGTTTAGTTCACGTTTAATTTCAGATTCTGCTTCACCAATCAGAATACGAAACGTAAAAAGCAAAACGTAAAAAGTTTGGTTGTGAACGCCGCTTAAGCTCAATGCCTAGCCTCGCTACGGTCGGCTATGAACTTTCAGCTGCGGCAGTCAATCTACTACTTTCCTGCCTAGTTAAACAAATACTCATTTTCTGCAACCGACACATCAAAAGTCATCCATTTTAATACCAAAATTAGTTCTTGAATTGACGTTTCTATTACTGAAACAAAAGTAAGCATAAAAAGCATTTATTATAAATGAGTGATTCATTCTGACAAGTACAGCCATAATTATTTTGAGCCAAACTGAGAGACTTTGCTTCGCTATCCATGGTTACATCCAGACTTTGGTTCGCTATCCATGGTTAGTTACATCTAGACTTTGCTTCGCTATCCATGGTAACATCGTTGAAAACATCAACGCTGATAACCAACCAGAATTGAAAGACAGCAAATGTTTTCGCGATAAGGACACGTCGTCTCTGCCTTGTGATTGGTCAGAATATGTGATGAGTTGAATAGTCAATAAAAAATTACACAAAATTGGTTCTATAACATTTACATAGGTATACCAAAGTAAGATGTAGATGGGGGTCATCTTCAGTGATGATGAACACTGTTCCGCACCAATATTGTGAGAATATGTCAAATTGAATGTTCATGAAATATATATGTTGTCAGGATGAAAATATTTTATGATCATTCTGAGAACATTCTATCACACTATCCTAAAATGAGTACGAACGTCCTGAACGTTGCCAGAATATTCGTAAAATATTTTGTGTTGTTTTGACTGACTCTTGATCAGAAAAAAAAATCCTCGAGTTCTGGCAGCATTAGAAATGTAGACCATAGTGTAATGGTTCCACTTTACATCCTGTGTGAGTTTTGTTTTGCGGACTTTTTCAGAGTGTTCTAGCTCTCTTTGAAGCCGATGAAACATCACATCTGATATCGAAAACCGCATGAAGATCGGTCAATTTTTTCAAAAACTACTGGTCTTCGAAATAGAGTCAAAAAAACCTCTTTGGGAAGTTACGTCACAAAAAAACATCCTCATGCCAACATTTTTGAAATATACCAAAACATCCCTGGAATACTCCCTTAGTAGGCAAACAAAAAAATTCCTCAGAAGAACAAAAACAATACTTTCAATATACTTCGAAGACCTATATGGGAATATATATCACGTCCTAAATAAACATCCTGGTGCCTGAATTTGTAAAACATCCCAGGGATATACCTCTCAGTAGGCACACAAAGAAATGCCATAGAAAAACAAAAACAATACTTCAATATCCTTCAAATACCTCTTTGGGAAGTGCCTATTAGGTCTCCAAAAATCATCTTCATGCCAACATTTTCAGAACATCCCAAAACATCCCAGGGATCCTAGTGGTCGCTGGGTAGTGAAACTCACTATACTAGATTTTTGCAAGGTAAAACCATGGTAAAAAAAGAACCCTTATTTTTCCCAAGGGAGTGGTGTACCCGTGCCTGCACTGCCTGATATCCCGCTGGGCGCCTCCCGAAGAAAAGGGCAAGTTCATCGGCGCCCTCATGGGAGCCTCCCTGGGCACCGTGGTCACGTGGCCTCTCTTAGGCACCGTCATCGAGCACCTGGGCTGGCAGTGGGCCTTCTACGGCTGCGGAGCCCTAGTGCTGCTCTGGACCTTCTTGTGGACGATGTGCGTGGCCGATTCGCCAGACGCTCATTCCAGGATTTCCGAGGAGGAGAGGAAGTTTATATTGGAGAAGTTGTCGGCTGTCAATCAGAGCAACATAAAAGTGAGTTGAGACTCGCGCGGACATGTGAAAGAATGATTAATTTAACTTGGATGAAATCTCAACAGGAAGTAGTGACTAGTTTACCCAACTATAGTGTTCTATATCAATCTAAAATGATGAATGAATTATAACTCCTTATTAGCACCTAAACAAATAGCAGTGTCAATTTGAAGAATGCAGGAGCAATTTGACATCCACGTAGAGTAAATAATTCAATCAATTTCCGGTGGATCCGACACTGTTTATAGTGTGGAATCTACTGTACTAAAGTGATGATATTGACACTAACTTGGGTCTTGAGTGGAATATTCACCTCGAAATTGTTTCTTTCAACTCTATTTTTGTGTTCATTCAATATATATAGAGAAATAAAAAAATAGAGTAAGTCTCAATGTGCTTGCCTTGAAAATTCACTCTAATTGAATTGAAAAAATCACACTATAATATACTAAACTATAGAGTTAAATGATTTACTCTAAAGCTTAGTGGTCCTCTTGGGAACAGGTATAGTGTTGAATTTCACTCTATTTTTTTACTGTGTAATACGGAGAATGGCTTTCGGTTAATTTTTCTGAAAATTTGGATATTAGCGTCCTTATTACACAGTCCAATTTACATATCGATCCTATGACCAGTTTTCGAGCTACAGGGTGTCAATAATTTGATTTTGGCTGTTTAGAATATTCGGCATCGATTTGAATTATGTGCTCTAAGTCGTGATAAATCTTCAGTAGAAATAAACGCTCCACAACTAATTCCTACCTCATGAATCCCTCTATTCGAATAAATGATAATATCACATACAGGGTATTGAATTTCATCAGTACAAGGTAAAATATTCATGGGAATAGACATATATTGAAATTATCAGAATTTCCTTGTTTACTCAATCAAAGAAAAATTGAAAACAAACGGCTAGAATCTACCAATTAATTGATACACTATATGGATCATGATCATCAACATGGGAATTCATATGATTTCCTCTGATACAATGTCCGGTTTGTCATATATTGGGTGATGACAATTTGAAAGCTTAGAACTCACGTACAAAATGAGATATATATCACGAATGTTTCATAACTGTTTATATAATATACAAAGTGGAGAATAATACGTCTCATGAAATACCCCCACCAACCCCCTGAGTCACAACCACCCCAATGCATATCATTTCAATAGTAGCCCCTATCTATGTATACTAATATTATAAAGAAGAAATATTTGATTGTTTGTATGAAATAGGCTATGAAACTGCTGAGCCAATTCGGCTGAAAATTAGTGGGGAGGTAGCTTAGAACCAGGAGACGGACATAATAAGATACTGTTCATATTTTGGTACTATGTATCAGCAAATTCAAGATGGCTGATCCAATATGGTGGAGTTTGTGATTATGATCCGATTCTATTCAAAATTATTAATTGGCAGTTTTCGGGTTTGGAAATTATGATTCTTCCGCCAAAATTTGGAAACTCGAGATGGCGGATCCAATATGGCGAACGAGTTTTGAAATTATTGTCCAATTCTGTTCAAAATTGGTATTTGGGGGTTTTCGGAGCCAGAGATTATGATTCCTTCGTGAGAATTTGGTAATTATAAATGGCGGACTCAATGTGACGGAAGAGTTCTGTAATTATATTCCGATTCAATTCAAAATTGGTATCTGAATATTTTATCAATCGGGGATTATGATTCCTCCGTCAAAATTAGGAAACTCAAGATGGCGGATCCAATATGGCGAACACGAGTTTTGTAATTATTATGATTCGATTCTATTCAAAATTGGTATCTTGGTGTTCGGAGTCGGAGATCATGATTCTTTCGTCAAAATGTGGAAATTCGAGATGGCGGAGGAGTTTCGTAATCATAATCTGATTTCTTTTTCAAAATTAGGAAATTCAAGATGACTTTTATAGATAGCCGAACTAAAAAGAAGTAGTAAATAATATAATAGTAATATGTTGATGGATATTCAACTGAAAAAAAAAAAAAAAACGTTTGCGGGGTCAGCTAGTGCAGAATACCTATATTCGAAGCTTATTTTTCAGATGTTTTTATGCAAGACGGAAAGCTGCACCAGGGCCGGATTGAAATATTTTCATGCAGAAGCCTTCAAACTATCAAAATTAGTAATTTTTCCGCTTCAGAAAGGATATTCCTAGATAGTTCGGCAACTTGCATATAGATGGACTCAAACAGATTCCGAGAGTATAGAAAAATTTGGTTTCAACATTTCACATGGAGGTGGATCATATTTATAGGACAAACAAAATTTTGCCTGATTTATTCATAATTCTTTCCGGATTCTGGTGGAATTTTGAACAAAACGTTAATTGATGTTTCGGAATATTAGTTTTGAGCATTGAACGAGATTTCAGATTTTCCACTTATTTTGATCATCAATGGATTGACATAGAAGATATGATGTAAATTATCGAAATAACAGAGTGCCACCAGCGCCCTCTATGAGAAATCACAAAATAAGTTGCAAGTTCATATTCCTCATGTCAGAAAACTAGAAATACAAGATTTCATGTTCATGCTGTTAAAACTAACAAAGTTATTGTGAAATTTTGAAATAAAATCTCCTCCTGGAACACCCTGTATCTCCTAAACTAGCAACATTCTCATCAGGCATATTGGGCTAAATCTCATTAGTTTTGTGTTTACTATCTGTAGTTCAGACATTTCCCATTCTCAATGAATCACCCTGTATATTGCTAGTGGTGAAAAAAATAAATGAATAACCATTTCACTTCTCTCCTCTTAGAAACTGCCCCCATACAAAGCCATGGCACTATCCATCCCCTTTTTGGCCTTAATAATCCTCCACTTCGGCAACCTGTGGGGCCTCTTCTTCCTCATGACAGCCGGCCCCAACTTCATGTCCTCGGTCCTGGGATTCACCCTGGGCCACACGGGCTTCCTGGCCTCGCTGCCCTACCTGGCCAGGTTGATTTTCGGCTTCGTGTTCGGCTACCTCGGTGACGTCATCACGAGGAAGGGTTGGATGGGCAAGACGACGATCAGGAAGAGTTTCGTCGTGTTCTGTGAGTGACTTTTTGGATTTTATGATGCTCTTATTGTTATATCGAAGACTGGAACCTTTGGCACGATAATACACTACACTGTTTTACCACTAACCAAACCGATTTTTTAACGCCTCGACACGTGTTTCGCTAACTATATTAGCATCTTCAGGAGAAGATTAAAACCAAATATCCTATTCTAGTGTGCTGCTTATATACTAGGTATATGTTCACCCAACTGTGAAAAATACTAACCGTCAAGTTAATGTTTGTCATGGTTGAGTTCACATGTTAATCTTAATTTTTTTTTTACTAAACTATATAGAGGGCTATATGGAATAGGTCCATTATCCTTATTCATTACTCTATTACTATTCTTAAATATCTCTAAGCTTTCATATGCGTCTAGTTTTCTAATGTTATTAACTTGCTTAACTAATTTGAGGTTAGTAATATGTGTGTTATGATTGTGATTGAACATATGTTCGGCTACACAAGATTTATCTAACCTGCCATATTTTAAATGGGCTATGTGTTCTTTGAACCTTGTTTTTATGGGTCGCCTGGTTTGGCCTATATATGTTTTATCACAATCATTACAACTTATTTTGTATATTCCCGACTTTTCAAGTGTGTCCACTTTATCTTTCGGATTGCCTAATAAATTGCCTAATTTTGACCCAGACTGATAAACGCTTTCAAAACCTAAGTCTTTGAAAACCTTATCAAGTCCCTTCGTATACTTGGGATTGTACGGGATTGGGATTCTTCTAGAGTTCTTTTTATCCGCTTGAAAAGTCGTAGAATATCGAAGTGTTAACTTAAATTATTTATGTCTACGTATTAATTTATCTACTATTTTGATATCATACCCATTGACGCCAGCCACTTTATAAACAACATTTCTTTCAGCATTGAATCTTTCTTTGCTGAGAGGAAATGAAATCAATCTGTGTACCAGAAAATTTAAACTTGCCATTTTGTGCTGAAAACAGTGATTGGAGTCATTAGGTATGTATCTAAATGTGTTAGTTTCTTTTCTAAAGACATCAAATTCTAAGTTGACGGTTAGTATTTTTCACAGTTGGGTGAACATTTACCTAGTATATAAGCAGCACACTAGAATAGGATATTTAGTTTTAATCTTCTCCTGAAGATGCTAACATAGTTAGCGAAACACGTGTCGAGGCGAAAAAAAATCGATTTGGTTAGTGGTAAAACAGTGTAGTGTGTCTCTTATTGTTAAATCTCACGTTTAGAACATTAGTGTGACAACTCAAAAAAAAAAAAAATTTTGTGATTGAACCGCGCAGAGATAGCGAATTTTGAGCTCTATATTTAGTAGAGTAAGTACCCAGCAAACAATTTTAGTCGGCCTAATGCTGGCCAGAAATGGCCAGAACAGCAAAATACCTGTGAATATTGATGGGCCAGTACAAGTCTGACGATACATTCAATTAAAAAAAAGACGACCGCCACAGGATTCGAACCCCGGTCCTTCGCTATCACTTTGTTACAACTCGAACTATATTATATCAACTCCCTAATAGTAACATTTCATGATTAATTATCATCATAACGGATAAATTATACAAACGATGAACAAGAAAAAACATCCGATTCTCCGATAGACTAACGAATTTCTGTTAACCAGCTATTGTTTGAGTCAGACGACTTGCCTATTTATTATGGCCGAATTTGATGACTTTCATAATAATATTTGAATGCAAAACGGCAGAATACCGCGGTGGTTGAGCGCTGCTCAACTAGCCATTAAAACGCCAAAAGGTTGCTAGGTTCGGTTCCTGGCAGATCAGAGAATTTGTATTTATAAAACGAGTTATGAATTCTAATTTTCGTAGCCTCGGCCGGAGATGATTCCTCACGATTTGCTGTTGCGTTCCAAATAACATTGCTGCTGCTAAGGTGGCGTATGGAGTTAGTAACAAAGCATACACATAACACACATGAGCTGAAAGTACTCTCGTGAGGTGGATAACCAGTTGGTATTATTTACATTCACATACATACCAACGAAGTACACATACTTACTTACCCAATTTATTTGAATGGAATGAATAAACATAGTAGTAGTAGTATATGTACTTGGTTGGTATTTGTATTTACATACCAACTTCAGCTCATTATAGTGTTCTGGGTAGGCTCGTTACTAACTCCATACGCCACCTTTGGACCATCACTATCGATTGGTACATAACAGCAAATCTTGCGAAATCAACCTTTCGATGTTCTGAATACTGGTTAGTCCTAAAAATTAGACTTTTCAATTGAAACTGAAATATAATCATACTCATTTGGCAAATAGCTGCTATAAATGACGAATGTTTGATGAAAAGAACACTGTCTAACAGAAATAACTTCTTTTCTCTAAATCGCGAGGAATATTATTGAAAAAATATTCACTCATCTACACTCACCGGCAAAAAAACTCTAGCAGAAAACATGTTTGCTAAATTGATCGTCCTGTAACTTATTTAATTCTTGTCCGATTTTGGTGAAATTTCCACCAAATCGTGGATTTATGTTTCGGAAAATTAGCCTGACATATAGTTCCCAAGAACAGCAGATGGCTCAATCATTATACCGAATAAACCAAAAATTTCTCTGAAATGAAAATATTCGCCAAAGCACAAATCCCATATTGAATGTGATTCAGTATTTGAAGATAACGATACATACAATGAAGTTTTGAAGAATTGAAAACATGCTTGATTAGAATAATTTACTACAACAAAGGTTGAAAGTGTGTAGGTAGTGAAATACATAAAAATAAGTAATATCCAGTAATGGCGGATAACGAATGTTTTCACATCATAGTGAATAATAGCCAATTCCCTTAATTGGCGCAGAATCATGTCTACAGGAAATTTCCGAGCGTCGCTCACGGCCAATCCTGAAAAAACATCATTGAAATAGCAAATTACTATCGGCACCAACAGTAAATGCCTCTACAGTATTTTTTTTTTTCAATTAATCACTTCGAAATTATAAAAGAAGTAGGTGGGGTACGGTTAAGCAGAATACTGAATGTAAAACGTCAATGTCATTCGTACTCATGTCACTGGAATAGCAAGAAATCTGATGCAGTAATGAATTTGCACCTTCGAAGTGCCCACCTGATGCTAAGTTGGATATTTGTCATTTCCATTTCATCATGTAAATTGTCCTAGACTAACGAGTCTAGGTACCGACATATAGTTTCATGTCTGAATGTAGAATATTTTGTGTCCAACAATCATGTCTGACGTATTTTTTTTTTTTGAAATAAAAAGTATCCAATGTTCTTTCGAATTCATCTAAGGATATGTATACAAAGTTTCATGATAATCAATCGAGTAGTTTTGGCGTGAAAGTCTAACAGACAAACTTACATTCACATTCATAATATTGGTAGGGATGTTACAGAGCGTCGATTTGACAGTATTTTTTCCGGTGAGTTTTTTTATTCTAGGACTGTGTGAAGAATATCAGGCTATTATTCCTTTCAGCTCATTTTCTTCCGGGCATTTTCCTGTTCGCGCAAACCATGATCGGCTGCGACATCTCCTGGTCCATAGTGCTGATCACCATGTCCTTGGGCATGAACGGAGCGGCCACCATCACCAACCTCCACAACTCCCAAGACTTGGCGCCCAATTACGCCGGCACTCTGTACGGCATCATCAACGCCATCGGGAGTACCACAGGGTTCATATCGCCGGCTATTGTCGGTTATCTCACCGCCGAGCATGTGAGTGAAAAAACAGGAGTTTTGTTTTTGTGCTTGAATTGAAGACAGGCACTACTAACCACCTGCACTGACCGGTTTCGAGCTATTTGGCACTCATCAGTGCTTTGACAATAGCCCGAAACTGGTCTGCAGGTACATCTGTCTTCAGTTCGAGTACAATTGGGAATTTAGGAAAATATATACTCGCAAGACTTGGCTTTCTATCACGCGAGCACCCTGTACGGCATCATCAACGCCATCGGGAGTACCACAGGGTTCATATCGCCGGCCATCGTCGGTTATCTCACCGCCGAGCATGTGAGTGAAAAAAACGGAAGTTTTGCTTCTGTGCTTGAATTGAGGACAGGCACGACTAACCACCTGCACATACCGGTTTCGAGCTATTTGGCACCCATCAGTGCTTTGACAATAGCCTGAAACTGGTCTGCAGGTATATATCTGTCTTCAGTTCGAGCAAAATTAGGCATTTAGGGAAAAAACATGCAAGACTTGGCTTCCTATTGCGCGAGCAGCCTGTACGACATCTTCAATGCCATCGGGAGTACCACAAAAAAACTGAAGTTTTGCTTTTGTGCTTGAATTGAAGACAAATCCTTGATTTTTCGTGAGCTAAGAATAAATTACAAAATGTTTTTGCTCTCGTTTCATATACCGGGTGTTACTCAAAAGTGGCTCACCCCTATAACTTTTTTGTTTCTATGAATAAACAAATGGAATTCGGTGTGTAAGTATAGTACATAAATATGTATTATTTGACGTATTCAATTGTTTCATGTCACTTCCGGTTTAACAGGAAATGACCCATATTTTCTTATTTCAAATGGGACACCCGGTATATTTTTACTTATTTCGATAGAGATTAACATTGTGAGTACAATGACACCCCATTCGCCACTTTTTGACTGTCATCATCCTAAAATTTTCAGTTCTCAATTTTAAATCTAGAGTGATTTTATGATACTGAATATTGATTCAAAATATCGATTATGTGGTATCAAAATGAGAACATCATAAATTACGATATTGTAAATTTTGAATGAACCTGTGAAACAAATGGAAAGTAGAACTTCATCCAAACTATATTTCCTAGGGAACATGATTCAAAATCAACTGTTTCAACTTATTCATGGCACTCTAGATTGAAAATTGAAAAATAAAAATTTCAGAATCATGAATATCAGAAAGTGGCAAATGGGGTGCCATTGCATGTACTCACAATGTTATTCTCTATCGAGATAAGTACAAATGTATACCGGGTGTTCACAGGTGACACACGGAATTTCATTTGTTCATCTGTATAAACAAAAAAGTTATAGGGGTGAGCCACTTTTGAGAAACACACCCGGTATATGAACTACAAAGTCATGAATCTGCAAAGAAAATCACGTGTTTTTGTTTCAGAATGGATTGGATCAGTGGCACATAATCTTCTACATAGGGGGGTCAGTTTATATAGGGTGTGGTATAGTATTTTGCATTTTTGGATCTGGCAATGTTCAACCGTGGAATGACCCTGTACCATTGGTCGAAAACAAGAATTCTAGTATTCCGGATGGCGTGGAGAATATTGCCTTCGATGATATCGAAAAAAAATTATGAGATATTTTAAAAATAATTGGATAAGTGTCAACGTACCTTTTCCAATGGCAGCTATTTCTCATTAAACTGAATCTTCATTAAGTGTAGAAATGATGAAATTTTTATACATAAACTAGGTGAATCCAATATAGTTTGCTGCATATTCGTAAGAAGTCTAGGTATCAATGCAACTTATGAAAAAATATAATTTTTCACTCAATCTTAAACACTCTAACTTTCTATTTTTTTCTGTGACAGGAAAAAAGCTCGAAATTTCATCTCTGTTGACAGGTTATGAAATGTCACTTTTCATAAATTACTTTTTTCCCACGGAAAAAATGGATTTTTCCTCCGATTGGCAGCAAATATTAATTTTGCTGACACATAACAATCAGCAAAGTATTACTTTTCCTGCCTAGGCAGCAAAGTGGGTACTTTGCTGCCTAGGCATCAAAGTGGTTACTTTTCTGATTGATGTGTATCAGCAAAATTAAAAATCCATGAATCGTTTATAATTTCCTTCATATTTCATCCGAGACTTCTCCGGCAACAAATTCAACTCTATATTTTTTGCCACCTCCCTTATTAATGGAGGTGTAAGTATACTTCCAGGTCGCTATCACTGTCCATTATATAATAATTCAAATATACCGATGTTTTTTCGCACAACTGTCAGAAATTTCATGAATTGTCAAACCAACAACTGCGATTTCTATCAAATTTTATTTTAATTCAACACTATACAAGAATGAAGAGATTGTGGGAATTGTATTAATTCGCAAATACAATATTTTCCCATATCATTATGAACAATCGGAGAAAAAATTATATGTTCAACTCGGCAGCAAAGTAGATTGACTGCCTTAGCTGGATTCCTAGCCTCGCTACGCTCGGCTATGAATTCAGCCACGGCAGTCAATCTACTACTTTGCTGCCTAGTTGAACAAATAACTATTGTTGTGCTATATAGTTCCGAAAAATAAAATCACACAATTAGACTGAAAGATATTTGACTACTTCAAAGGAATGATAAAGATGCTTGCAACCTGCAACGCAGGTGTCATTCCTGTTAATTTCATGTCGATAATTTTCTGATTTTAATGTAATATTATATCTTCCCAGTATTGACAATTCGTCCTTTTTCCTGTGACAGAAAAAAATATTGTATTATGCACAGAAAAAATATTAGATTTCAGTTTACGGAAGAGACAACACAACCTGGAGCTAAAATCAACTGCTTTTTCTCCTTGTATAATAAATAATCATTATATCTCGCCCAATATATAGGTATAGAAAAAATATCTCCCTGAGTCTAATGTATGTATATTGTATAACGCTGCCTTGACTTAATTTTTTGTAATGAGTAAGAAACGCAGTGATTCAGAAAATAAAAGATTTTTACTTATACAAGTTTTAATTATTTCGACCCCATTTGAATATTTCACAGAGTGAGTCAAGGAAGCAACAGAATACTCTGAATAGTCTGAATTATTAATCATATTGTATTAGATTTTCTATTGTTATCAATTATATCAATGAATAATGCCGTGAATCATTTCATAAAAAATTTTCAACAATACCAAATTATATAGGAATAATAATGGATTCTTTTGGCATTGTTAATCTGTGATTTTGGCAGGTTGCCTTAAAAATAATAACAGTCGAATCCAAAGAACAGCTCTTTATTGAAACTCTGATGCACGAAATCTTGAAAATTCCCCACAGCAACACTATCTTTGGAGTATGATTATTTCCAAAAATTGTTTTTCCTCTCTTGGAGAGCACCTGCACCTCGGAGAGCACGAATGGAAATTCCTATGATATTCGGAGAACCTCGTGCGTACCTATAGGGAGGATAGGGAGAGGAGTAGGTATAGGTGTTGGAATTTTTTTTCAGTAATACCTTATACCTACCTAATTGATGGGTTTTCTTATTTTGTATTCATAATTATTTTTCCTCTGATTGCCCATCAATTAATGACATAAAATATTATAAAAACCCGTATCAAGGATATCCTCATTGGAACCGTATATTATTATTACCTACCCCAATTATGACTTTTTTACCTTGACCAAGGTGATAACACATCAGTAATAATTAGCATATGAAAAATTGACGTCACAATCGAATTGTTATGGATTCTGGGATTCACCATAATGTCTCTCTGCATAATTAAATAATTGAATTTAGCAATAATCACAAATAATTATTCAATTCCACTTATTATAGTCATCGATCAGGAGAAAAAATATGAGATGCCTGACAACAAATAAGTTGCTTACATCTCCTACTCATGTATTTGAGAATTTCAGTTTATTTTTTATTCAGCTCACAACAATATATATTCAAAAAAATGCTAGACAATGAATTTCGTAGTTGTTTTCTGTTGAATAAACCGATCGAATGACTTGAAATTTGATCACCCAATATATATGAAGATGTTCACTCGAAATATGCTATTGAATAAATCGTAGGTATACAGGGTCACACCGAAGTGCACCTCAACTTTCTTATTTTGAATAAGGGACACCCAGTATATTATTCCATATTCAAATAGAAATTACAAATTACAAATTCAACAATGCCGGGTTTGATGGGATTTTTTCAAACGACTACGCGAAGAAATGCCAAAAAATAAAACGATTCAATAAAACATTTATTTGACTAGATTTTATCAATATAACCACCAATTGTCTCGATGGTGATAGCAACTGGCCAGCTCGGTCGCCAGACCTCACCCCACCTGATTTTTATTAGTGGGGCTATATACTTGAAACAACAGGTTTATGAGTCGCCAATTGTGAATATGGAAGAAAGGAAAGAGAAAAACACAAATTTATACGCACGAATTGATCGCAACGTGATACATAGGGTCACAATGATGAACGTTATCAAAAGAGCTAGGAAATGTTTGCAGCAGAATAATAATGGACGACATATTGAGCAGTTGAAGTTTTAATTAATATTTTTTTCATTCGATTTCAATCGTGTTATATTAATAAAATCTAATCATATAATTTTTTTATAGAATCGTTTTATTTTTTGTCATATCGGGTGACCGAATTTCAAGTCATTCGATCGCGCGGTTGATTTTTTACTGGGGGGGGGGGCATTTTAGGTGGGACATCCATTTTTTTGTGTTCATAAATATATCTGAGAATATTCCTTATTTTCAATAATTTCGTAGTTTTTTTAATCAATCAATAACAGATTTAATTGAGGAAACCTAATCACGAATGTGCGTTTTCATGGTGTATAAAATTAACAAGTTTCCATCGTTCAAGTTTGAACCCCTTGATTGGGTGAAAGTATTGAAAGGCAATATTATTCATGTTCATAATAATTTATCAGACAATATTCCTTTTCAACATTGGTTTTGCTTCGAAGCAATTTCGTGCTTCGGTACTTAATATTGGTCACAATATTTTGAAAGGGCGATAGTGGAGGAACCTAATTAAAATTTATAAGTATTTTGACTGATAAGATACAATCATTTCCATACTTCAAGTGGTTATCATAAATTTCAGGACTAATCTACATAATAATTATCATCAATATCAGCAAACAACGTTTTCCATAGTTTTTCATACATAATATGAGTATATTTTGACAGTTTTGAATCGCCAAAATCAGATGGATCTTTTTGGTTAGAAAGATCATAGGCCAATTTAATCAAGTATATAGTCATATAATACTGTACAGTGTGTCCCACTTACCATGCTCACCATGGGTTTCTTTTTAACGGTGAGAGATACGAGGTCGATTGAATGACACCAAATGTGGAGTTTGTCAAGAACAACTATAATATGAAAAAATTTTCCGATGAAATCTATTCGTTTTTGTTTTATACGAAAAATACAGATTTTGATCATTTTCATGTCTCCTCCGTAACTTCTTTATTCATGAAAATATTCAAATAGGAATTTCACATTCTCATGGCAGTTTTTCAAAGTGATTTCAAAAAAAATATGAAATTCATACCAACTCTTCTAGAATTTGAGATATCAGCACCAACTTTAGTTTTTCAAATGTAGGTCATAGCTCACCATGACTTAGTTACAAATAACTTATTTTTCTCTTACAGATGATACGTCGCAGTAATGGTTTTGTGTTGAAAACAACGGATTTATCGTCATTTATACAAAAACAAAAAATTATTTGGAAGCCGCCATCTTGAATTTATAAATTATAACAAGAAAATCATGATCTCCGACCTCAAAAACCCCCACTTACCAATTTTGAATGGAATCGGACCAAATCTTGTCCGCCATCTTGGAGCAGCCATTTTTTTTAAATTCAACAAAAATTCCATAACTCCGATTAACTTGAAATTTGGCAGGTGTTCATAATTTCGGTGACAAAACATTATGGAATTTTTGTTGAAATTGAAAAAATGGCTGCTCCAAGATGGCGGACAAGATTTGGTCCGATTCTATTCAAAATTGGTGAGTAAGGGTTTTTGAGGTCGGAGATCATGATTTTCTTGTTGAAATTTATAAATTCAAGATGGCGGCTTCCAAATAATTTTTTGTTTTTGTATAAATGACGATAACTCCGTTGTTATCAACACAAAACTATTACTGCGACATATCATCTGTAAGAGAAAAAAAAGTTATTTGTAACTAAGTCATAATGAGCTATGACCTACATTTGAAAAACTAAAGTTGGTGCTGATATCTCAAATTCTAGAAGAGTTGGTATAAATTTCATATTTTTCTCGAAATCACTTTGAAAAACTGCCATGAGAATGTGAAATTCCTATTTGAATATTTTCATAAATGAAGAAGTTACAAAGGTGACATGAAAATGATCAAAATCTGTTTTTTGTGTATAAAACAAGAACGAATCGATTTTATGAAAATATTTTTTCACATTATAGTTGGCCTTGACCAACTCCACATTTGGTGTCATTTAACCAACTTCGTATCTCTCACCGTTAAAAAGATACCCATGGTGAGCATGGTAAGTGGGACACACTGTATATCTCTGGCTCCAGCAAATTTCAGGATCCTTACCCAACGATTAAGTAAGATACAGGGGTGTTCCCATTAAAAATGGGTCACACTGTATATTATGTTCCCATTTGGCCACCTATTTATGCCTTGTAACAGTTCAATATTGTTATCACAGGAACAAGGTTAATGTTGTGGCTAAGATAAGTATACAACATTTCCAGGATTCAAAAGTCATCAAATAAACATTAACTTTTTCCATTCTAAACAAATTGATGAACAATAAATCATTTTTTTTTTCATTAATCTCTTTGAAATAGGTAGTTATACTTCGGAGTATGATTCCCATACTCATTATGAGGAACCATGAACTATGAACTTTGCACGCTTGGTTTCATTAATTTGTGAATCATTTTTTGATATTTTCTCGTAATAATTCGAAATATTCAACAAATAATGTTGACATCAATAAAAATAACGATATAAACGCGGTCTTATTGCATCTTACATTGTAGAGAAAAGATCAAATGAACGAATCAACTATCGGTAGGTACACTGGTGAAATGAACTTAAAGTAAATGATATACTAATATATTTCCTATAGTAGGACTAAAATAGAATGAAATGAAAATCATAAAATCACGCTTTCTTGAATCAATAAACTTTTTTATTTGGAAAAAAGTATTTTCAACTAGGTATTGTAACTCTTCATTTTGTGGTGAGAGACTATCACTTTCTCTTGACCTCCATTGCTCCATTCCCAGTTTTCTCACCATCAACATCTTTCAAATTATTCGAAAGATTACAATGAGTATTTCAATGAGAGAGCCTCAATATGGCTTTGTCCATTTTATAATTTTTTATATGACAAAAAAAAACGAGTAACGAAACAATCATATATTATACGTACATATTTTATAATAACAAAGATTAACTGACTTCAGACAAACATAATAGTTGGGTTAACATTAATATTACATAAAAACAACACAGCCTTCAAAAAATTTCAGTGATGCATAATTAATTCCAAGTGAAGTCTATCAGATCACGAATGAGAAATCATAGTAAATTTGAGGAGTATAGCTGAGCTGATTTGCAGTAAATGTGTTCATTTATGATACCACATTTGACAATGGTGGATTCTATTTGTCGTTATTATTAGAGATCCAAATTTGTTTGAATCACGAAAGCTATCTGTATGTTTGAAAAGAAGAAAATTCCTTATGTACTTTTTATCTAAAAGTTGAAATTCAAAATGAAATAAATAGTAGTTCAAAAATCTAAACAAACACACATTTATAGATAGGCAAACTAAAAAGAAGTATAGGGAATAAAATAATAAAAGTGTGTTGATAAATACATAAAAGGGTGTTAAAAATTGCAAAACCGGATTATTATGTAAACAAATTGGAAAACGCGATGATAATTGTTTTTATCTCAAAACTACTGCTAGTTTATTTACTTTTACAATGTTGCATCTTTTATAAAAGCGAAAGTACCAACAAATTCACTGCTAATCAATTCAGCTATATATCCTCAGAAAAATTGAAGCAGTATACCTTGTATAACTATAATTTCATGCATGATTTCAAAAAGGTATATACATTAACAAACATATTATATATAGTATGTATAGTCATATAGTGCATTGTAAAATATGCTGTTCTTTTAACTATGGTTGAAAATCTCACCCATCATCGAATATAACAGACAAAAAAAATCAACTTCCAGTAAAAATTAGTTTTCCTGAACCGTACTGTATTTATAAATTTATTGACATTTTATGCCTACAATGAAACTATGGATTCTAATTATCTCATTTCTCCCCATTTTTTATGTGTACAAAATTAAAATTAAATGGTAATTTTTTACTTACAAAACTGACCCAAACTCGATTTATTTCTCTAGCTTTCAAGACTTTCAAAAAAATGACTATTGTGGGAGAAAGGTTTGAAGGTATTTTGTCTTGTTCAATTTATTTTTGAGTAGATACCTGACTGTTGAACACAAATTTTACATTCACCACTCAGTAAGTTTTAATCACGGTAAATAGATCAAATAAATCAGTGATACTAATCAACCAATCCATAACAGAAAATATTATAATTAGATAGACTTGTGCATTTCTACAGGGCGTTGAAAATTCGTGGCTAAGCTTGGGAATCTCATTTACCTTAAGGGATACAGAGTAGGTTAGATTAGGGTAAAGTTGCACCATTTCATGCTCAACAAAATCCTGCTTTGGAATTGGAAAAATTTCAATTATTTCCGGAGATATCCGGAAAAAAAGAAAAGTATGCTAAATCGTTCTCATTTATTACTCAGTGTATTTGGAGAGATATTTCAAAATGAATGTCACTTCATCATTGCCACTTTGCTTCCTCTACAAAATGTAATTGTCAAATTAGAAATCCGACGTTTCTTATTTGAACGGCTATCATCACCTTAATTTTTTTAAATACGGACCTGCATTTTTTATTTAATTTTTCGATAGTTTTCGGTCTCCTTGATATGATGGTGTATCAAAACATCACTCAAAATGTTTACTGCAATAAAAAATGTAAAAAAAGGTATGGAGATACTCATCTTTGTCTAACACAACGTGTCTAGTATTCTTTCCTCTTTGTCTAGCACATTATTCAGTACGAAGTACCTCCAACATAATTGAATTGCTCTCATTCTAAATACATTATTAGTTATACCAAACCAAAAATGATAATTAAGCAATAGTTTATTATTTAATGAAATAATATGTATGAATCGTGAATACACAATTTAATCAATATCCAAAAAATACCAAACACTAAGTTTTCTTCCACAGTAAATGCTCAAAAATCTTTCCATTTGCGTTTAAGCAGTCCTTCTATGGAGGAAATGGAGCCGCCGTGTTTATAAAATGGTTTGTAAACGGTGTACTTTATGGCGCCTCAGAAAAAAAATCAAGTTGTGGATTTAGAAAAAACAAATTAGTAATTAAACGCAAGAGGAAATATCTTTGAGCATTTACTATGAAAGAAAACTCTTTGTTCGGATTTTTTTTTCATATTGGATATTATTCGTTTGATTAAATTTCGTGTCCATCATCAAGTATTATTTCATTAAATAATAAACAACATACATGCATACCATTTTTAAACAATTTTTTCACTGAAGTAAACATTTTATGAATTGTCTTGGAACACCCTCATGCCAAAAAAATCGAAAACTATCGAAAAAATTAAATAAAAAATCCAGGTCCGTATTCAAAAAAATAAAAGTTGGTGGTAGCCGCTTGAAGAAGAAACGTCGGATTCTTAATTTGACAATTCCATTTTGTAGAGGAGGAAAAGTTGCAAAGATGAAGTAACATTCATTTTGAATGTTCTCTTCAAATAAACTGAGTAATAAATAAAAACGATTTTCCATATTTCAACTTACCTAACCTCCTAACCTAATATGACCTACTTTGGATCTCTCAAGGTTACCGAGATCCCCATGCTTAGCCACGAATTTGTAACACCCTGTATAAGAATTATACTTCTCAAAATATGCACGGACAGGCAATGAAGGAACCTACAAGGCTAGATCAACGGAAGATAAAAATTATTCATTAGGTATTTAAACCTACTCATGGAGCTACTTGTTATTCCTTATCTTGTTTGATTTTCAGTACTCTAGTATCTATAGGTACTTGAGAAAGATTTAAGATTTGTTTGCAGATCATAATAAGATAGCAGAGAAGATAAAGAAACAATCAATTTCAACTCAATAAGTGTGACTAATTGATCAATTTATTACTTTCATTTGATTTTTAGAGATAAAAATGAAAAAATGGGAGAAAGAGATTGATAATATCAATTCAAGATTATTATCTCTAGGAGAAAGAGTTACTCAGATCTTCTTATTTTCAGCTTTGAACTCTGTAAGAGCTGTGTGAATACGAAAATGAAGCCTAGATTCTAATGAATACCCTGTGTAATTTTTTTTAGCATCTTCCAATGCCAAAATAGCCTTGTCTCCATTGCCATTTTGCCACTCAATCAGAGCTAGCTCTACAATGGCATAAGGTACTATATAATGGTCTTCAATCAGATACTTTTGCATAGAAATGACAGTTTCCAAGCAATCTAAAGCAAGAATAGGGCTCCCCATATGTCTAAGACAAGCCCCTTTCAACAGCAAAATAAGTGCTTTGTTATCATTATCATATTTGGAGGATGTTGATTTTGATTCTAGATCTTCCAGAGACTTTTCTATGACTTTCAGAATTTTACTAGCAACAGAAAAATATTTGAGAAGTTTAAAAAGATTCCAAACAAACATAATTTCAAAAACAGGCAACACTAAATTTTGATTCTGGTTGAAATATCTTTCAGCCTTTTTGATGGCAAATTTTTCCATAGGCAGTGATTTGCCGGCTATTCTTTGTTTATACCTAGGCACATTTTTCATAAGCTTATTCATCTCATCCAATTCACTCTGAGTCAATTCTTCTTTGATCATACACATAATCACAGCTTTCTGATAGCTGTACAGGCTGCGAGACCATTTACTTTTCTCCAAAAGCTGCTGACAATAAACCAAAGCTTCCCGCCATTCAATTTTGAGACAGTGCACCCAAACCAACTCCCAAAAACAAATGTGATGAAACTGCGGCCAAACATTCTGTGACCGCCAGGATTTGATGTACCAATCTTTAGAGGAGTCCAAGTTGCCTAAAAGTAAGTTCATCCTACCCTCGAAAAAAAGGAACCACACACTATCAGGATACTGCCTCAGCTGTGTCTGCATGAGTTCTTTGCAGGTCTTCAAGTCTCCATCTCTATGGCTGAGCACAGGGAAAAAGAACAAATTGTATCCCAGCATCATCATCACACACATTATTTGACGTACACCATTCATGGAATAGCCAATGGCTATTTCATTGAGGCCATGTTGTCTGTCTCCAGAGAACCCTATGAACTCCAACAGCTTGATGATTCTGGCAGGCATCATAGAAATCATCAAACTGAAAGCTCCTATACCCATTCTAACTCCACTTTCAAAATGCTCTTTGGTACTGCCCACTTCCCACTTTCTTTTCAACAATATCTGTCTACAATCTTTATAGGAATTATAACATGATCTTATTTTTATACCAGCTTTGATCAAACTACCCAGACTTTCATCTTCCATGAAAGACAACATTGATCTGAAGAGTAAACATTCAGCATAGCACAGTTCAGCATGAGCCTCAAGCTCTGTATACTGTTCAAAATTACTTTTCCTCACCATTTTTCCCAAAGACTCACCTATGGTGTTTTTTTTCCTATGTCGATTGCACAGACTGATTGCATGCTTCAAAGATTTGATAGCTGCCTTTATGGCATCAGGTTCAAATGTCAGTACTGCTTCCATAAATAAAAAAACACATTCTCCCAGAGAATGATACATACTTGTATGGGAGTAGGGGCTCAGCAAACTTCTGGCTTCTTTGAATTGGTTATTGAAAAAATATCTGATTGCTTCTTGACATTCATTCAAGGCTCTATCCAGGGTCATGTCCACATCTTCTGGAACATCTTCAGCATCCTCAAACTCTTGGTCATCCTCACTGTCTGAATGGTAAGATTCTGTTTCTTCAGTCATTTTGTTTGCTTTGGTCTCAATGAATTATTCACTTATCTTTAGAATTTTGTTTAAAAAAAATAGATAAACTTTAAGATGTCATCACTGATTTGCTACTGCACAGTACACATAAGTTCTTGGCTTTCAGATCCAATGCATTTTAATGATACTGTGACGGTGTAGATTAAACTAATCATGTTTAGTCATTTCAAGTTCTTGTTGACAATGATAATTCTTGTTGGACTAGTAGCCACGTCACGATTGATATTTTTATAAGAATCTAGACTCACCAACGCAGTTTACGATCACAAAACATATTATTTGTGGATAATTAAATTACTAGAAACTCGCACGTCTCATTTCAAGAAGCAGTCTAGACATTTCTGAAGAGACGAAACTCATAGAAACCAAAATGCCAGCTGCTGGTTGAATTTCTCAAAAAATTATCTCTACGATTTCTAGAGTAATTACTCTTGAATGATAACTGTACACCGGAATATGTGTAATCGTACTGAGCGAGTGAATTATCAAGAAAGTTGAACCTTTCACTTCTCCTACCATTTTTTTAACCTCTCTTAACGAAGATCTATTCAATATTTAGAATTTCATGTATATTATTCAACTAGTGGAGTGTGAGGTGCGAATGAATCAGAATTTATCTTTTTCACTAGTATTCCATATTATGCCTATTATAGTGATATGATATTGGTGATAGAAATTCAAAATTTAAAAATTTTCTACTTTGGGACATTTTGAAAGTGACAATGACAAATGACAGGAACCAAGCCAAGAATTTCATTGGCCGCAAGCCACCAACACAGCGTCCACTGACAAGCGTCTAGCTAGACCAGCGAATCTGAAACATCGAGGTCAAGTGACGTCACCCACAACACGAATAAATTTGGCGGTGCTAGCGATGAAACTTGGTAATGTTTTTATTGGTCAATTCGAATTGGGTAGACACCATCAACCAATAATAGCTTCACACGTTTCATCGCCAGCATCGCCAAAGCCAAAATCGCCCAGCAATAAACAAAGCGTGGCCCTGCGAGGTGTCAATTTTCTTTTCACTCAAGTAATTTTTCAAGAATATACCCTTAGAGAGAAAGGATCATTAAGGACAAGTTAGGTTGAAAGTACTTTCCTTTTTCATGCAGAAGAGATAGTTTCCTTCATCATATCACCTTATAAACCTTCTGATAACCTTGAGGTTTCAAAGAATCGCTGGTCTAGCTAGACGCTTGTCGCCCCCAGGATTTCACAGGACCACAAACAAACGTCTCTCGCCAGTCATTTAATTAGTAGTATGATGCCGTGCTGCGGAAAATCTTAAGGTTATCAGAATATGAGGAAGGAAAATATCGTATCATTCGTATCTGCATGATAAGGGGCTACATAACTCGGCCTGAATGAACCTTTATCCTGAAAAGTATATTTTTCGAAAAATCACTCAAGTGAAAGCAGAGGGTTTATGAGTATGAGGAGGGAAAATATCGTTTTTGCATTGAAAATGCGTCATCTTTCAGCCGAACCAGTTCTGAATGATCATTATAATGAATTTTTCCTCATTATAATGACTTTTTCTCATTATAATGACTTTTTTCATTATGTGGAAACGTTTTTCATTTCTTAAATAGAATCATCACTCAAATACCTTTCAATTTCATATTTTTTTTAAAGAATTTTTGGTGGATTTTTAGGTGCTGAAGTCATCAATGATCCACGGTAATTTTCAAACGGCTAGAAATTTATATGGCACAGTTGCCATGTGTTGAAATACATATTAGGAACTTCAGAAATATTATTTATTCAATAATTCATAAATTCTCAATTGAATATTAGTAATATTCCTAATTAGCAATGAAAATGCAATTGTCTCAAAATGTTCCCTCATGATTTGTGACTTATTGCTTTCAATATTTGTGTAAATAACAATCATATTGATTGACACTAGAGGACATTTGAAACGGTGAACGTGACAACACGGCGCACGACTTGTGGGCATGGTCTTGTCAGCTCTCAGCATTCAGCACAATGTTATTGCCAAGTCTCCAACATTTACATTATATTTTGTTATGGAGAATGAGAAATATTTGGATATACTGATTGCTCGAAGAAGTCAAGAATGAACTATAATATCATGAATTCTTCCTATTGTGTTTTATTCATCAACAGGACTCTAATATCTTTTTGATAACTTGATTATAATCGGTGACTTGACAACATTGCTTCATGAGTGGAAATGAAAAATTATCTGACCAATAACGAAACAGCATACAAACTGACGTCACCATTTATTCGACGTATCGCCAAATGGCGGCCATGAAGGTCCGTTTAAAATGAGCTCTGAAATTCATCAATCTCGAACAATAACGGGTAGACTCACTATTAACATTAAAAGCGTGAAAAGTATAGCAAAAATTAATTTAGGTACCTAACGACACACTGGAGTAATTGAAGACCTCGGTGCAAGAACCGGGCAACTCCAATTTTCTAAAATGTTGGGGAATGGAAAAAACTCAATATTTCTGAGAAACTTGAAAAAAATTATGCTAAATGGTATAAATCCTTTCGAGTTACGGTAGATAAGCTGTATTTACCTAGATACTAATTTTCATTCACATGTAAAAGCTAAAAAGAAGTTTGAAAAAATGGAGTTGCCTGTTTTTTGCCCCAAAATGACAAAATTCTGAAAATATAGTCAAACTACGTTTGCTGCGTCTTGACCTTCGTTAACTTTGCCAGAATTTCGGTCTTCTTCTTCAACAGTTATGTTTTTGGAACATATTCATACTTCCCGAATCTTGAAAAAGCTACACTACCACTTATTTCCGACGACATTACATTGTATTGCATGAGACAAATGATCAAACTAATCACGCCACACACGATGGAAGACGCGGGAAGGCTTGCCGCTAATAACCTCACTCCGACATCTCCTACTACACGCGTACATTTCGGTGCTAAAATCGGGTAACTCCTGGAGTTGCCCGACACTAGCACCGTCATGGCTCACATTTCGGTGCTAAAAATCGGGTAACTCCTGGAGTTGCCCGACTCATGCACCTCAATGGCTCATCAGGTAAATCCTTTCCCGTGTTAACTTGATAGGAAATTGTTGGATTCGCTTGATTCTTGCACCAAGAGATGCGCAAGAAAAAATTCTATATGTTAAATATACAATAACGCAATTTTGGCATAAAATGAAGTTGCCTGGCTCTTGCACCGAGGTCTTCAATTTCAGTCCACTCGCCCAATCGCGTCCTGTCTCTAGACGCTAGTGCAGAATCCCTGATCGACCGCCTCCCCCTCCGCCGCCACCCCCACCATTTTGCAACCGCTCTCCGCCGCCGTCATGCGTTCTCTCCCGCCACCAGTGCCGCCTCCGCCACCGGCCGGGATGCTGTCCGTCCATGGACTCGGTCCGCATCGCATCGCAGTCGGCGGAACGTCAACCGCCTCCGGAGACAAGCCGTTGCGGCAGCGGTGGCAAGCCCCGGCCGCTGGCCAGCAAGCAGCTGAGTGCCGCCTCCAGACAGTCGGCTGAGCCGCAGTTCGCCGTGCTGCCTCTGGCTGCGGCATACCAGGTGAGGGGAAAAACCAGCGAAGAGACTTCTATCTTCGCTGGAAAGCCCGTTCTTTTTGGACCGTACGATTTATTTTTTTTTTCTGGTTCTCACGAAAAGGGATATATCCTGTAATGTTCAGAGAACATCGTGAAAACCAAGGGAAATAAGGTAGGAATTGGTATTCTTCATGAATTTCTGGAGGTTATATGCCTCGGGGAACACCTTCCTTGGCAATGTATTCCAGAGCCTCGCTGTTCGTTGGATGAACGAGTCTTTGGAAAGAGATGTTCTGCAGGTCTCCAAAGAGACCACGAAGGGGTGTGAAGCCTCAACTCGGCGGGTTAATCTCGCGGGGACTTCCAAGGAAGGAACAATAGTTGATATTTCAGAAGAACATCGTCCATAAAAATATCTATAAAACAGAGCCAGATCGCCAACTTTCCTACGATGTTTCAGAGAAGTAAGTGAGTTTGTGAGCGAGGCATCACCCACGAGACGGATTGTCCTTTTTTGGACAGAATCCAACAGTTTCAGGGTATGTTTGGGTGCTGGTCGGATCTGTGCCTTGTAGATCATAAGCAGCTGACTGAAAGTGAAATAGCTTCTGGCGCGAAACAGAAAACCAAGTTCTTGGGATGCACTTTTAGCAATTGATCTCACGTGATTTTCCCAAGAAAGGTTATTGCTGATAGTAATACCAAACATCGAAATGGATGTCTTCAAAGGTATAGTTACTCCTGGCAAGATTATAATATGTTGGGCACAGTGAGATCGGCTTTTCTAGAGAAAAGGCATGCTTGTGTTTCATTTGCATTGAAATCTACCAAGTTATTGGATTTCCATTCGAGAATCGTTGCCTTTTTATGTTGTCAACATTTTTCTCTCGTTCGTGTCTGATTTGCCTCGCTGATATTGGAGCCCTGGAAGAGAACGCGGCGTGGAGGGTACTATCATCCGCTAAGCTGTTTCTGGACATGAAGTTGGTTTCAACAAAGAGGATTTGACTAAGACGTCATTTGAATGTTGAAAATGGTAACAGGTGGCGGTCTTATAATAGAGACGTCTTGCTGCTGCCTCTCGACATCGTAAAAGTGCCTCTTCAGAACTTCCCCAGAATTTCAGAGACGTCTTCAGTTCGTATCTGGAGGATATCATTGGGATATGTTATATGAGACATACAGAAAATAGTATAACTTGGACGTTCTAGAGACCTCTTGTCGATGCCTACTAGTTGATTGTAATACATCAAGTTGTAGTATAATAAGCATCAGAAATAGATGGTACTCATTAGGTTCTGTGAAACGATAAATTACAAATTTGTATTTATAGGTCTTGATATGATAAGCAAAAGAAATTGCTTAGATAACAAATATGGTACTGGAATGTATATTCATTTTTTCAGCCCAGTAGGAAAAAGGAGGAAGCTCGCGCTCTACAAAACCTGAGAAGAAGACTTCAGGCTGTGAGGGTCCTCCAAGCTAACAGAGCTGAGCCCATCGAGGCTTCTTGTGCCAATAATAATCTTAGTCCAGAAGAAATTGATAGTAGGCCTTTTCTGCTTCAAAAGGTGCAGTATCTTATACATTCTGTATATATGTTCAACTGATTTATTTTTCTCAAATTCTCGCTAGGAAACAAATTAATCGAATGAATAAACGAATGAAGGCGAAGAACTTTTTTTCAGGAAAATTGCATTTCCACGGCCTAGTTCCAATTAGATTTTCCCAACGTAGCATGTGCTGTATAAATAAATCAGGCCATCTGATTAAATCATGGACATAAACGAACGCCGCATGAAACGTACTTTATGATGGCAATAAACGTGTGGCGCTTCTAAAAATTTGGAAATGCAATGTGCAGAAGTATTTACCTATCTATTTCAACTCTTGAAAATTGAATAACTTTATATTAATTGCAACGGAGTACAAAATATACAAGAAATCGACTGAAAGAATTCTTAGCTCTAATTCCATCTATTTATATAGGTTTATATTTAGATTCAATAATTCAGATGAAAGAAAATGTAGTACCTAGTAGTAGTAATTTATTGATGCAACGAACACTACAGTGTATAGCATAAGTCATTAAAGAAGGTATAACTTAATTAAAATCTTAGAATTTCTCTGGTTAAAATACATGAATGAAAATCTGACACATGAGTCAAAATATCATAGTAACAAACTCTAAGGACAATACACAGCTAATGCTGTGTCTATTCCTACAACTTATATTACATACACGCACAATTATATAGTCATCATTTTACGAAACATAGATATACATACTTAGAAATATAATAGAATATAGAATTAAACATTTATGGTTTTGCACACACTTTGCAGAGGAATTTTTGCAGCAAACATGGCGAGCATGTTCAAACTTGCATAGGAAAACGCCTGGCATGTTCAGTAATCTCAAAAACTGAATAAAAACAATGTTGCAGAAGAAAATTTTTCATTTTCTAGAATAAAATCGGATTAAGAGTCTTAAATTCCATTGATAACATATTATAAACATCGTAGTCCAAACAATTCTCCTGGGAAATAGAAAGCCGGTACTTTTGTATAACCTAATGAAATTTACTTGTCTTGTATTGTAGCCATGTATTTGAGATTGTCTGGTCAACCTACTTGATATTGTTCATGTATTTCTCTCAGAGAATGCTCGATATATATTGACGGAAGCAGTAGTATATTCTGAATTTAACAAAGAGAGGGCCACAGTGTTCTCCGAAACCACAGTTTGCCAAAATTCTTTTGTCGTTGAAAAATTTCTGTAGATTTACAGGAGTCACCCCATATGTTATATGCGCATGAAATAACGCATAATACGTACTTTTCAGAGTTTCTGTATTGACGAAGGATTTTTGCTTACGTAGTAGAAACAAAGTGCTCGATAACGATAGTTTTTGCTTCAGTGGCACGATATGATGGTTCCATCTAGTCTGTCATCAATTATCAAACCCAGCAGCTTCACGCATTTGTTATCGAGTACAGAAGAATTTGTCAAAAAAGTTATATTTTGGGTTTTATTATAATTTAGCTGTAATCTGTTTACTTGGTACCAGTGCTTTGCTTTTTCTTGAATATCTAGCGTCAGAGTTTTTAATTTGTACAAGGTCATTATCGTCAGCAAAAAGAGTACACTCACTGGGCGATGAGAATTGATGTAGATCGTTTACATATATTATAAAAAGTAGAGGGCCAAGTACCGAACCTTGTGGTACTCCATGAAAAATATATTTCATCTCTGATTTAACATTTCTGTTACATACTGTACTGAAGAGTATATTATTTATTTTTCGATATCTGTCTGAAACTCGCAATAGCACCGAGTCATGCAAAATCCTTTCCCATTTCCATTAGTTTTCGAGGTTTTATTGAAATCTGTGCGGTTTTCCTTCAGGTAAATGTCAAGGTTCACGGAAGGGTGAAGACATATAAAGTGAAATTGATGAGCTTTTTCCTTTTTGGAACGATCTTGATAATGATGACAAGTCGGGAAAAGTATATCGGAAATCGCGAAGTTGTTTATCCTCACGCACCAAAGCAATAAAACCTCAAATTATTCAAAAGTGAAGGAACTCAGTGGCGTTCCCGCAAAGGGGTCCACCTCCCCCTCGCCGCATAATTTGAAATTCATTAATTTTTTTGTAGATTCTAACGAACCGTCCAATGAGCATGGTGCTTGACATTTCGGAGATACGCACAGCCTGGCAGGATAGCGATTTCATCACCGATTGCCTATGTTGGCACAACGTTTATCGCCAAAGACATGCCGCATCGCCCTTAACAATGTCTTCGGAGGTAAGATATACAGGGTGTTCCTTGAAGACATGCTAATATTCAAGGGGGCGATTCTTGGACCCATTTCAGGAATGAAACTTCATATGAATAACGTATATGTGGTAACCGTCCTAACTTTTGAGATACAGGGTATCAAAGTTGAACATATACATATATAGATTCTTTTTTTGTCCACATTGTATAGCTTTTCCTGATGGCAAAATTTATTCTGCCATGTGACTGAAACGGAGCAAAAATTTCACAGTGTTACATACTGTGGTTATCCATAGTAATAGCTGTCCTGAATGGAGTACTCTGAAGCTAAGCATTTGCATCAAAATTTGAAGTTTGATCTCGTTTTCTCATTTTCTCTCGGGTATCAACAGGATGATCTTTTTTGTACAAAATTGAATGACTTTTTATAGCATTTTATCAAATTTGGAAATATTCCTTCGTTGCTAGCTTCAAGTATAATATAATCAATCATATCCCCCTATAACGGCGCCACTGGTAGAGAACAGGAAAATTTGTATACATAAAAAAATGCACCTTGATGCATAGAAGATATGTACCAAATTTCATAAAGATTATTCCAGTTATTATAGAAAGAATTCAAAAGCTAAGACTTTTAAAACATACGTTAGTGGAAAGTTTTTTCTTGAAATGCGTTGAAGAATCGCCCTGTATATATTTGTCAACCGTGGTGATGACCAACTCCAATATTTTCAATAATAAGCAAGATCTCAAAGTAATTTTGTTTGGATTCATGACAAATTGATATTCATCATACAGGACGTGGAAAGAAAACTCTGAATTCGGAAAACCCAATCGCGAATCTGCGATTAGAGGTACACAAAAATAACAAGTTTCCATTTTTCGAATACGAACCCCTTGATGAAAGTATTGAAAAAGAGTATTTCCAGGGATATTAAGAATATGAAAAAATGAATTCTCTTTGTGATGAATATATCAACTCTTTATCGGTATATTCAACAGAAAACTACTTTCCTGGCTATATGTTACGACAAACATTGAATTATATATATTTAAAACACACGACCTCGACACACACGATAACAATCTGCAAATGAAATCTTCTGAAGTTGAGAATTTGCATTCTCCTCTTCAATATAATATACATGCAGAAGCTATCATTCTAAATATTCAACAGAAAACTTTTTGGATGTTCACCAGAAATTCAATGTTCGACGTGGAAAATAGCCAGAAAAGTAGTCGTTTTCTGTTAAATATACCGATTAATACTTCATATATTTATCACAAAGAGAATGCGAATTCTCAACGTATTTCTCTATATTATACATATTATATCCATTTTTTTATATATCCATAATATATCTGAGAATATTTTTCAACTCAAAGTAATTTCCACAAATGTTCAAAAATGAACAACAGTGTACAGTAGATGACGGGAGAAAACAACTATACTTTCCCCTGGCTATAATGCCACGCAGAACACTGAATTATTATGAATGAATACTAATGCAAGTGCTTCTTTCCTTGATTTTAGATTTTGGCCAGATTAACGTTTTGGCATTCACAGACCGGTTTCGGGCTTCTGGTACTCATCAGTGTAGGGTAGTCACTAGCCAGCAGTCCTAAGACCGCGAATTGAGCAAATTGAACCTGACCCAATAAATATTCTATCTGCATACTCGTACACTCATCAGAGACGCTTCCTGCGTTGCATTAGCCAAGAAAGTAGTTGTTTGTCACATGTTGTTCTGAATATTTGTGGAAATGACTCCAAGTTTTTGCTTTTCATTAACATTCCATTCTATTTCGGCTTTTCAGCTTTGTTATCTTGCTCAAACCTGGGCGAATCATCTAGCTCACACTAATAAATTTTACTATCGAAACGATAAGGACATAGGCCAAAACCTTTTTTGTAAACCTTCCAACGGACTGGTACAGGAAGTCTCAGGTACCTATATCTAATAATAATAGTATTTCAAAACAATTCTATCGGAATATTTTGCTTGACTTCATGTTTTTGTAGGCCAAGAAGTTGCTACTTACTGGTACTCGGCAGTTCGGCATTACGATTATGGCAATAAGGAACCAGACTGCTCACATACCAATGTCAATGCAGGTGAGGGAGGCGATGAGTACATATACAGGGTAAGTCATAACTATTGGGACATATTGTTTGGACCAAAATATGGCGACAGAACCAAATATGCCTCAATATAATATTGCTGTGGACAAAGATACAGAGGACGTGGAAGTTGATTTTTTTATTTTTTGCGAATAATTTCACTGTACATTTATCAATTTTTATCGAAATCGGCACAGAGGCATAAAATTTTATACAGAGAATATTATTTTATGTATTATCCTACAGTTTGTTGCAAGGGACGCTACGTAATTGATTCCTGATGATGAAATCTACTTTTTTTACGAATTTTTTTAGTGATTCTGATTGAGAAATATCACATCATTTTCACGTGATATTGGTACTCCAGTTCAAAAACGATATTCTCTTCCGTTTTCGAGAAATATGCAATTGAACAGTTTGAAGTCTCGGAAGGGGAGTTCAAATATTATTTTTTTTTTCTGTTCTGGTCCCACACGAGAAGGGATATCCTGTAATGTTCAGAGAACATTGTGAGATCCAAGGGAAATAGGATAGGAATTGGTGTTCTTCTTATATTTCTGGAGGTTATATGCCTCAGGGAACACCTACCTTGGCAATGTGTTCCAGAGCCTCGCTGTTCGTTGAATGAACGAGTCTTTGGAAAGAAATGATCTGCAGGTCTCCCAAAGTGACCACGGAGGGGTGCGAAGCCTCAACTCGACGGGTTAATCTCGCGGGGACTGCCAAGGGAGGAACAATTTTTGATATTTCAGAAGAGCATCGTCTATGAAGATATCTATAAAATAGAACCTGATCGCCAACTTTCCTACGGTGTTCCAGAGAAGTGAGTGAGTTTGTGAGCGAGAAATTATCCACGAGACGAATGCCCTTTTTGACCAGAATCCAACAGTTTCAGGGTATGTTTATTGGGTGCTGCACTCCAAATATGGGAACAGTATTCCAGGACAGGTCGTATCTGTGCCTTATGGATCTTAAACAGCTGACTGGAAGTGAAATAGCTCCTGGCAGAAAACCAAGACAGGTTTTTGCTGATGATATTAATACAAATTATAAACATCGGAATGGATGTCTTCAAATTTATGGTTACTCCTGACAAGCTCATGTTGGGCACAGTGAGATCGGTTTTGCATTGAAATCTACCAAGTTATTGGATCCCCATTCTAAGATTGTTGCTAAGGCCATATTTATGTTGTCAACATTTATGAAGAGTGATGTGCTTTAGACTGTCAGATAATTGTTGCTGGTGAATTACATTTCTTGTAGGTGAATGAATCTTGGTGCGAGTTAATAGTAAATTCTTTTTCGATTGAAACACCCTGTATCTTTTTCCAGAGCAATATTTCATTAAGGCGTATTTGGTCCTGTCGCCATATTTTGTTCCAAACAATCCGCCGTTAGCCTATGTCCCAGTAGTTATGAGTCACCCTATATACCATAGATTCATATGGATCCTCTAGATCAGAAAGAAATAGGAGAAATAGTTTCAAAAGCACACATTACATATTGGATGAAAACTTTGCAAGGTTTACTCTTCAAGTTTTGTGACTGTAGCCAAAACCCACTCTCAACCCAGTATATATTGGAAAATTGGTACATTATACACCTAGGGAATGAAGTTTATAGCCCTCCCGTTTTTTTGTCGAGGGATTTGAAAAGACTTCAGTCCCAAGGTGTATATACTATTTTATGCACTAGCGGGCCGTAAAGTGCACTTTACTGCCCGGTTTTGCGGGCGTTAAGTTATACTTTACCGCCCGCGGGCTCATTATGGCCCACGGGCCGTAAAGTGCACTTTACCGCCCGCTGTTCTCAGTTTCCTCATATCCACATATCAATTCATGAAAAAACTATGATCATTTTCCTAGATTCTAATATATCCAGCGGTATATCATAAACTTCTTCTTTATCCGATTCCATAGTCTCGCTGTTATCATTATCACCAATTTTTACTTTTCAGTCAAAGATTGACAATTCAGCTTGTTTATTGGATTTATTGCTATCACTGCTAGACAACAACCATCAGCTTGATTGACAACGTCAAAATTAGGTACATATACTGGGTATGCATATTGTAAAATTCTGAAGAATGAATCTCTTCTAGAGATCAGAGAGTTTGACTATTACGATAATTGCAATATTTGTACCATAATTTTCATATAAAAATCATCCATGAACATTACGCTTCTCTTCATTACTGAATTTATACGTAACAAATTAAATTCGGGGGAATATAAGTTTATCGAAATCTATAGTAATTACTTTTGAGTCAAAAAATTACCCACTAGTGCATAAAATTTTGTATGTATCACGTGCGTGAAATGCGTTTATGGCCTTCAGCGTGTAATGGCCCTCGGCTGGCGCCATCGGGCCATTATTCACGCCACAGGCCATAAACGCCTACTTTACGCCCTTGATACATAAATAACTATTATGCACTCTAGGATAGGTAAAACGTTGAAGAAAGAATAACGAAAGAAAATTTGAATGCTATATTAAACGGTAGTTATTCTATTTCTGAAACATCATCGAAGGAGCTGATTGTTACCATATCAACGACCTTAGTAACTATGGTGATCCAGATCATGATTGTCTTCAACAATTGGAAATCTTGGTGTATTATGACAAGTAACTAAGTAAAACATTAATGAATAGGTACTAGTCAAACACGCCACACCGATTTAAAGACGTTGATCGTGATGGAAAAAATTGGCAAGGCATCTCAAGAAGGTGAAGGCCAATTATCACCAAGAAAATCTGGAGAACAATTTGAAAAACTGTTATCTGAGTTTATCAAATGGTGCAAAAAACGGAACGTAGAAACATGTACAGAAGAAAAGTTACTGCTAGCATAATTCTTGGAAAACTCATAAAGCTTAAAGCATTGTCATTGTGGAGCGTATATTCGATGATAAAAGGCACAATGGGCCTATTTATGTAGATATATTTTTAAGACGCATGCGCTCGTTTTTGGATCCAGAATTTGATTGGGTAATGCGAAGGTGAAATCTCATTGGCTATAGTTCCAACACAAAATTCTGATTGGCCATTTCGAATATGGTAGTTTTTATTGACGTTCTGTCAAATACCAACAGTGTCAACCACCATGGGCATTCGTCATTGAAAAACAACAATAACAGAATAGTATTTTCGTGAATATATTCCTGGTGGGTATTATAGTATTATATTGATTTAAATCGAAAAACCGTTACTTATTCGTTACTAAGGAGTGTGGTGCAAGTGTTTCGGTGAAAATGGCCGCCACTGTCGTTGGATGCGAGATGTAAACACAGTTAGTCATTTGTCATTTTAATGAAGAGGCCTATTGCAATAGACATTTTGAAAATACTTTTCTAAACTTAGCTTTTATTGCAAAAGAAATTTCCTTTTTCCTCCGAAATAAGGGAATAAAGGTACCCTTTAAATCCCTGAGGTGCATGAAATGTATTCTATGATCCCATATTTCAGGACATTTTACTCAAATGGTGTGGGCTTCCACCCGCCTATTCGGGATAGGGAAGGCCCGCTCTCGCTCCGGAAAGCTGGTGGTGGTAGCTCATTACGCACCACCTGGGAATGTTCCGGGCTTTTACATGGACAACGTGCTGCCACCTTGCGAGGACTATCCTCGGCTGCCGCCACCTAGATTATTGATGACTACGGCGACCAGCAGCACTACGGGCTCGAGTTGTGTCACATCGCCCAGCACCTGAATATATAGGGTGTGATGGGTGTTATATCCGTGATGGCCTAGTTAACACAAACATCCCTGGATGTCACATTCATGTCTCACTTAACATTGCGAATTACAAAAAAACATCATTGGTATTGCCAGGAGACTCTTCATTTTAGAAAACATTCGAAATATTCGTCATATTTAATTGGATTTGAAACCAAAATTGAAAGTGAATCTGTGAAGCTCCCAAACAACCCAGCAAACACAGTTACATCACAGCGATATCGCAGTGTTGTAACAATTGTGGCCTGTGATATCGCATTCTCTGTCGCATAGACGTCGATGCGATGTCAGACGGATGTTATTTTGTCCCACTCAAGTTTCATCCATGCGACGTTGCTACGATATGTTCTCTGCGATATAACAGCGATATATTTTATGCAATGTTATTGAGATATGTTATTTGTGATGGAAAAGCGATGTGTTTTAGAACGGAAAAAAGTATTGGTACACCACCGACTTTTGATGACATCCAATATGGATTATGTGTTGTCGGGACTGGATGGTGGTCCCTCAGATCTCCTGTCCATTCATTCCTCTTTTCAGCGGCGCTAATTTGGTACCTACGATCCTACGAATATCTATCAAAATGAGATCTGTTACTAGCATTTGTATAAAAAAGTATGCAGTGAGTGTCGGCGAGATGTAAGTGAACCAAGAAAGAATTGCTTGATAGTATTGTAACGAATATTTGCGAATTCAGCTTCACTTTGTTAAGTAATAACGTATATTCATGTATTCTTTTTCACCGAAGAAGAATCTAAATAACGAATTTTTGAAAAATTCTCGCATTTGTGTATGCTTCAGTAACATCGCAGCGATGCACTATTCGTATGATATCGCATTGTTTTCCCATCATGACATCTTATTAGATATGTCATGTCGCAGATGTGTTTGCTTCTGTACCTCGCAGCGATGGAACATTCGTCATATAGCAGTGTTACCTCATCAAATCTCAGAGATGTCATGTCGCAGATTTATCTGCTTCTGCTTCATCGCAACATCTCAGAGAAATCATGTCGGAAATGTATTTACTTATGAACATCGCAGCGATGGAACGTTTGTGATATAGCACTCTGTTACCTAAACGCGACATCTCAGAGATGTCATTTCACAGATTTGTAGGCTGGGAACCGAGACTCACAGGAACCACATATTCTTTTCTGATTATGTAAAACACTGGATCATTTGATATTGATGTTTGATGAAGAGTCGTTTGATATTGTTTAACGTACTGCGAGTTTCATTTGGCATAATGTGAATCATAAAATGACCCAAAAAGGAACCGGAAAAACAATAATCATTGTGATCAGTGAGACTTTCATTTCGGATCACGGATGTGATGTATGGCATGATAATGTGATGTCCTCTTATATCTCAGGCATCAATCTGTGTTGACTGGGAGAAGACTTATATTATTTGTGATTGAGACGTGTTTGATCTTTGAAAGATGTCGTGGGTGATTAATTGTCTCTGTATAGGATGACTGAATCTTCTGAATTTATCATCCTACCTGTGACGTCATCACAGAATCAACAATCTAACATACCTACCACAAATTTCAGCTGACGTCATTGGGCCTTTCCAGTATCGTAAAATTTGACGCTTTTCCGCTATTATTTTATGAAAGGAAGGTAAAAACGTTATCCTGCCCACATATTCATCGGGAAAACCTGACAACAAAAAATGCATTATTTAATATTGAAAATGCTACTTCAATACCTGTGAATTCAAATGCTACTGAGTTGTGATGTCAGTGTCTTCTCGCCATTTGATTGGTTGGGGTTCTGACGGCTGGGAATCACTCCGCTGTTGCCAGATATCTATAAAATCCTTGAATTGATCCTATGTACAAGGTGATGGTGCAAGGATCGCTATAATTCGAAATTACTATGTAGTAGGTGATTAGTTGATGAAGATAGTTTTCTTATAAAAATGACTGGAAAGGCCCAATCGTGAGAATAAAATGAATCGCCCAATATTGGTACCTTTGTAGAGTGGGTATACTTATTGATGATCATTATGATCTTTCCAATGATTCTCATGGAGCCAATTATATGAATTCGAAAATGATGAGATTGACTTTGCCCTAAAAATAGTCACATATGGATGGCGCTGGTAAACATCATGTAATAATATATGCAATTTAAAGTAAAACAATCAAAACAGTATACAATCATTGTAGTAGGTATGCTACATATTATAACAATCCTATAACATATTATAAGACCCTTCGCTCAATTAATTAAAAACTCATATTGGAATCTCACTGAAATTCATCAGGTATCGATTCTCAGGACGCTATTGGTTTCTAATTATTATAGGACATTATCCGCCATGATTATTCTTCCTAAATTTTTTCTTCGTAGTACTTCCATCGATGTTTTCCAACTTGAGAATGGATCCAAACCATTTTCTATTATATTTATCATACCAACACGTTTTACTTCACCATGATCTCACCTAAACTCCTTAACATGCACTTCAATATTGATTATTCTGAAATGACATGCACATCATTCGTAGTTTTTATAGAATTCTATGTAGGTAAATAGCATGTATGTTCCTATACCTACTGGATATTCTAATATTCGTATGAGAACTAACAGAGATGCATGTTTATCATTCGATCTTGATATATTGGTGATTGCCAAATAAATTCTATATATATGATAATAAGAAAGTGAAAAGTGGAAGATGATTTTCATCACGCACATAACTACAAAAAAATGCTTCAATCCTACCAGATATTATAGACAATTTGAAGGTCTGCTCTTATATATATATGTATATGCTACTATAATATTTTCCCCCGGTTGTTTCCAAAATAAACGCCTATAGGCCTAGCCAAACTCCCGTTAATTAACGTGTAATACCAGTGTTCATCTAGGTATTTAATCAAAGCATGTGCCTAATTGTAACAAAATACGTTTGCTACATATGTAAGTTTTGAAGGAATGTATTGTATTGCTCACATTGTCGTTGATATTATTATTGTTAATAGTATGAATTTAGTATAGATACATATCATTATTATCGTATAGGTGGTATAAGATCGCTCCAAAAAGTGCGTACCTATCAGATGCCTATGTAAAATTGTTTTGCAAAAATTCCGTTATTCGTTATTTTAAGTATATTATTGTAAGTAAACTGAATGTGAACTGTGATTCGATGTATAGATATTTGCTATAATTTGTTACATATTATATATTGTGATGTTTGAAAATTGCTGAAAAATTGTAACAATCATTGTTGAAATAAATATTTATGCTTATGGAAACACAATGAACGGCTCAATATATAGGTACTAAATGCGCCTTGCAAAATGGAACCCCCCGTTCTTGATGTAAAAAAATGTTGAATTAAAAAGTTGTTTGAAACGACCCAAATACAGGGTCATTCGTTTTTCCGGAAAGGACATCGACTTTGATTTTTTTCAATAGAACATCACCCTATATACATTTCCCGACATGTCGATAGTGCCTATTTTTTCTGATTTCAAAAATATATATGAGTTGCATATTTGGATAAAAAATAATTGAGTTATTGATGATCATATAGTTAGAGTCCCTGTATATACCTTAGACAACATATATACACGTCATTTCAAAGCCCACTATATGTTCAACTCACATTTGATGATGATATGAAGTGAAGGCTCATTCATAAAGCAGTATTTTGGTAAGCTTTGATCATCAAAAACTCAACTAATTTTCATCCAAATATGCAACTCATATATATAATTTTGAAATCAGAAAAAAAATCTCTTTCGACATGTCGTAAAATATATTACTGGTTTTCCATTGAAAACATCAAAGTTGATGTCCTTTCCGGAAAAACGAATGACCCTGTATATGAAACAACTTAACGAAATAAAAATTTGGGTCGTTTCAAACAACTTTTTCATTCAAGATTTTTTCATATCTCAGAATACGAAAAAGGCGCACCCGGTACATATACGTATACTTTTTCTAGAAATGAATTTCGAACACCAACTGTTGGATAGGTAATAATCTGAATTGTTCTCTAATACATATCATGGCTAAAAATAATTCGAAATCATAGCATCTAAAATCTTAAAAATAAGGAATGTGAGATTTTTCTAATCAGGATATCCGCCACTGGCAGTGACTACGCCACTGGAGTTCCATGAAACACATTCACTTGCAACATTTGGGGGTATTCGTTTTCTTCTCAATCCCAAATTATTTTGTGGCACGGGCAACAGTGTAATGCCTGAGTTCCCAGAGTTCCCAGAAAAAAAAAGACAAACTAGATTGTCAACAATGTCAACCTGACGTTAATATCGGCTGTCACCTTCATCGTCAAATCCTTGTTTCATCGAGTCAAGATGAGCATATATTTAAAGATAATTCTTATATTATGTGAATCTTCAGTTGTGTTTTGAGTTCTCTGTTACTTGCAATAAGTATTCAATCCAGAAAATTGATTCCATATTCTGATTGAAACGACAATCAGAAATATTCTTGCACTTGTCTATCAGAAATGGAGAATTGAAACATGAGTCGAATCTTATATGGTGTTCTTGGATGATTACGTCACAAGTTATCCACGTTTTACAAAATTACTTGCGTTTTTTTTAATATACAATATATCAAGGTGTTCCATTTGACAAAATGGCATGGTTCCCCCATCACAATGATTATCTTCTTCTTCCTGTCTCTAGACGCTAGTGATTAATACTGACAATGACAAGATCCAAAACACAGAAGAACGGTGCAACGACCATAACCTGTTTGTTGAATCACAATTTTATTATTATTCGAATTTGGAATATTTGGATAAAATGTTAAGAAACACCTCTAAACTATTGCAAATCTCGAATGGATTACAGAATATTCTCAAAGGTGAAATTATTCACCCTAATTTATTGTGTCGACTAAAATTTTAATTTTTGTAGTTCAACTCTGTGGAAGGACCCCTACACCTACAGAAAATTGGGATTTACTTACAGCTGTGTGTATTGAAAGACGACCCATAATCACTCCGGAATTGAACAAATTGGAAAAGGAATACAAACAACTTTTGGATGAATTAGAACTAGAAAGAAGTTTGAAATCTGATACTGAACTTCGCCATGAAGCAGACATGTAATAAGTCTTGCCACATCATTCTTGCCATAGTTGAAAAACTGTTTGACTGATTTTCAGGAAGAATTTGGAGCTGTTGAGAAAGGGTGAAGACATAGCTGATAAAGATACAATTTCAAAGCAAACACTTCAAGATTTGGTTGATTTATGGAATGATGAGGCATCAAAGTTCAAACCTGCAAATAAAATCACAGGTTTGGATATTATATGTGATAATTCAGAATGCTAGTCATCAATTTTCAAATATGTAGACAAAATCAAAAAATTTAATGAGCCATTAAAGTAGGAATAGTATTTACTATCAGTGCCATCAAAGTGTAGTGGTAAAGTGCAAACATTTGGATTTATTGTTGATAAATTGGCTGCTTTTTATGTGGAAACTGCTGAAAGATCATTTAAATTTCATAGTACTGAGAGGAATCAATGCATGGCCTCAATGTTTACCTTGAGTGTTTTGTTATAGTTATGTTCATCTTTGTAGAGGCTGATAAAAAGAATGATTTGAAGTCATTGAATAGGAAATTGGATAAGCATTTGGTGTTTGTGTTGAACCAGAAAGTTGGAGACAAAAACTTCTATATTCTTCCACAAGGTGCTAGAGAAGATGGAGAAACCCTGAGACAGGTTAGTTCTATATCTGCAAAACTACTTAAACATTGTGTTTTTTCTTCATAAAAAGAATGCTATAACAGTACCTATAAGTAGAAATATATTTGTTCAGTTTTGGATGGTTTTCAAAGGTTTCTACATTTTAGAAGTGATAATGCTCAACTGTTTCACATGGATTATCATTTTGAGAATGATTCATGGTTAGGTAACAAACTTCAAAGGGAGAAAATTTGAAAAACATTTTTGCTTGAAGAATCTGAAATTTTTTGTTGTAATTTTCATGATTGCTGTATTTTCACTGTATTATTGCAGACAGCTGATCGAGTTTTAAGGCAAAATGTAGGAACTGATGTTAAAGTACAAATTTATGGAAATGCACCTTGTGGTTTTTATAAGTATAAATATCCTGGAGATATAAAGAATGAGACAGGGACTGTGGGAGCCAAGGTATGTTCTTCTGGTAAAAATAAGTATATCAAATTCAAGAAGAGAATTATTAAAAATGGCACTTTATGAATGAAAATCATTGACATTTTCTAGGTTTTCATATATTTTGCGAGATATTTGGGTGGGCAGTTGACACAGACAAATTTGGATTACAAATGGTTGGACAGAACTGAATTGCAGAAAACACTCCCACCTCAATATAATACAAGTGTTAAGCAATTTTTGTTTGATGGCTAGATATACAGATCATTATTTATTGTACACATATGGCTTTATTTTTTCCCTCATATTCCTGGAGTTTGATCAGAAGTGACTCAACTTTTTATTTTTAAAATGGTTACATATTTTTATTCAAGAGTCATTCCTCATAAAGTGAGCTGCACATTTCTTGTACTAAAAACAACTTCAAACATTTCAATTGGCCTCCTAAAAGTTGAAAATGATGGAGTGACCTATGACAGCAATATTATATACTGTATACTGTTTATTTTTCAACTGCAAACCCAATAGGTTTGTTGGCATGTTCACAGCCTTGGAGATGAAGGTATATGAGAATGATCCTGGTCGTATACAGGGGGTTACAAATTCGTGGCTAAGCATGGTAAGAGATACATTTCATGCTCAAAAAAATGCTGCTTTGGAATTGGAAAAATTTCACATACTATATTTTCATTTGGAATGTAGTGTATGTATACTTTGCTTTCTACCTGTAGCATGCCCAATGTTCCATTTCGGAAACTGAATGCAAAAAATATCGACAATATCGATAATATCGATAATTAATGAAAAATTATCGATTAATTGATAATATCGACAATTTTGATGATATCGAGAAATACCAATACATATTGTGATTATCGATAATCCAAAATCACTATCGCCTACCCCTTCTGTACAATAATGTAAGTCATTTTCTGGTGAAAAAAAAAAAGAACAAATATAGTTATTTATGATATAAGTGCTAAAAGTGACATTTTATTTTGTGAGAAGGGAAGTTTGGGACACGACGACGAAGGCGGAGTGTTCCATCCCTTCGAACAAAAGAAAAAACACTTTTAGCACATATATCATACACTATTTTTTCTACAAACACCATTAAAAGTCCAAATTAACGCAAAACTATTTTACATTACTTATTAATTGATTATAAAACAGCCTCGAGATTATCAGTTTTGAATCCAATTCAATCTAATCTGTTCATGAAACAAGTTACCAAGGTAAACAGAAACTGAATTTGTTGATTTATCTTTCTTGACAACTAACGTCAATAAATCACGAATTATTCTTTCTCGTTTCTTTGTTCCTCGATGGAAAGTGCCCAAGAAAATGAATTTCTTCCGCCGCAAATTGAAGAAGCTGCCAATAAAGCTGTTTTTGAATTATTGCCTAGTAATGTCAAAGCGACAGTACGAGTTTTCATACGAACGTTTCTTGAAATGGTGTGATTAGAAAAATGTCAGTGGAAAGGAGGCCAGTGAAAAAGTGCTTCTTGCATACTTTGAAGAAAAGTCCAAAATATGGAAATCGTCAACGCTTTGGTCGAATTACTCTATGTTAAAGTCGATGATGAACATAAATGATCATGACATAAGCAGATATCACAAGCTTGTGGCTTTTTTGAAGCGAAAGGGTGAAGGCTATCGACCGAAAAAGTCAAAAGTATTGACAACCCAGCCAACCATCGTGTGACATCAACATTTGTGTGATGTAACAACCTTGCATAAATGCAATATCTCGTTAACACATCTTATCGACGTAGATTCGATATCAACGTCGCAAGGTGTCATCGCAACCAGGAAACTATGTTATGTGGCAGCGACTTCTTCAAACTACATCTCTTCGACGTTAACTAAATAATTCACATTGATATCCTCATGAGATATCTTTGTGACCTGTGAGTGTGACGCAGACATGCGCAAAAGGAACGCACACGCCAGACGCCATGTTGAGCTGTGCATGGCCATGTCAGTCAGTCAGTCAGTCAGTGAGTGAGTCCGACTCCGTACAGACTATTTCCTTCCAAATTCTCTGTTGAAATATCTGAGATGATTTATAGCACATATTATAGCAGCCTCAAATTGGAGGTATACAATCATTTAGGAACGACGGTGAGTTCAATCACAATAGGTACCTAATATTGTAATTATCTCTGAGATAGGAATATTGCAATCTAAAACAAGGTGGATGAAAGATCCCGAGATAATGTAAGTGTATTTTATATGTATCATTTATGAATAATGTACATTTGTATCGCTATATATATGTGTCATGTGTTTTTACTTTCGGAAAATAAACATTTTCTTCGTAAAGTTGAATAATTATTATTATTATATATCCCACGAATATCATATAGGTACGGCGACCACATCATCGATGTCGCAGTGTGATGTATTTGTAATATGAAATGTACACTTGTATGTGACCTGGTAGTGATTTTTTATGTGATGTCGCATTTCATGTCTGAACGACGTCACAGTGATGTTGCTTGAGTCGGACGTACATTTTCACATCGCCACGTTGTATCGGTAACATGTTTGTGACTTCAAATGCGATATCGCATGTCACAAAGATTGTGGCGTATACATCACTTATACATCTCATGGTTGGCTGGGAAGAGAACAAATCGGCAAATTTCTCGCAGAAGCCCATGATGAAATATATCTAATGCAGAAAGTTGCTGCGATTTTTGGTGTTTTTGGAGCCTGTCGTCGAGAAGAACTGTGCGATTTGACAATAAATAATATCGAGGATTCCGGAACTTGCATATACCAGACACAAAAACTAATGTGCAACCCAATTTTGTTGTAAGTGGTTCATTGTATATGAACTACTACTACTACTACAAAGCCCTTCGTCCAGTGGGTATTAATCATTCTAGAGTTTTTATAAAATGCATTAAAAAAAGATGTGCCAGGACTCCTGTTGGAATCAACACATTTGGTAAGATGCCTGCCGAAATTGCCGAATTTCCTAATTTGCCTGATTCCCATCTATATAATGGACATTGTTTCCGACATTCCTCAGCTAGTTTGTTGGCGGACTCTGCTGCTAGCCTGCTAGTCTTACTACAATTAAAAGAAGTAGCAGAGGGTTATATATATAGAAGACTCGCTACAAAGGAAACAGAACATTGCAGATCAAATTTTGTCGAAAACTTCGGCAGATAATATTGCTCTCTGCCCTGGTACAAGCTTCACGGAAATAAATTCTTTCACATCTACCAATGAGACTGGCCATGGAGTTTCGTATTATAATTGTAGTTTCGCTAATTGCACTTTTAATTGAATAAACACTTCATTTTGAATTATGTTTACATATTTTCTCATAAAAATAAATCACTTTTAGCTAAAAGCTAAAAGTGATTTACTTTTAACACCAGTGTCATAAACTGACATTTTAGACACTGACAGCATGCGTCAAAAATTATGATTTTACTGACGTTTGTAGAATAAGATTTATTTCTTGCTTTAGCATGAGCAAATTCGTTTTCAATGGCAAGCAATGCCTTTGAATTCAACATTTTTTCTGACATTGTGGATCGCAAATAGTTTCCAACTCTTCAGCATAGAGAAAGATCTTCCACCGCTGCAATTTGGAAAAACTCCTCTCATACTTGGTGCCCTCAAAATATTCTAGTTTTATATTTATCCTAACAAAAGCGTCCTGGGCTCGGTACTCGTGCAGTTTTTCAGACTTGCGGAGATATTTTCTTAAATGCTACCATTTTTCAGATTTTTACTATTTCATGAACTATGATTTTGCGCCCCTCAAAGCTTGGCGCCCGAAGCGCTATCGCTTCTTTTGCTTCCTGGTTAATCCGCCTCTGCTTTTAATTGGTTCAAAATAAATGTGTGATTTTCTCTGCATTATTTAACAGCTAAAATAATGTGTTTTCCACCCATTTTTATCAGTGTACCTGCTCTGGTACAGTCAGTATAACTACTATTCTCCCCTCTTCCATTACTGTTGTAGAATACATCCTGGCCAATTTCGAGTCGTGTATTTCGGAATCAAAGATAAACACGATATCGCGAGTATTTCCCATTTCCCTGATGTCTGTTTTTCGGTGGGGATTTATGTACCAATCAGTGGCCATTATGTGACGCCAGTGGGGGATCTCTATAACGAGCAGCGGCTTCAATGATATGTTAATTGATCTCTTATTACAGGGCGCCTCATAGGGAAATGAATACCAGGGGCGTACAGGGTGAAATGCGGGTAAATTTGTACTTGATCATGAGATGGGTATATTTTTTCGAACATATTTTTTGGTACTCACGTATTTTCTTATGAAATTCACGAATTTCATGATGAGAATATGAAAAAATTACTATTCATCGAGAAAGTTCGAAATTTGTTATCTTTTTTAACCGAAAAAACATGGGAGTGCATTTTGAAAAACCAAAGAAAGGGTCGGTTTCTAGTAGGTTGTTTGATACAAGGGTGATTTTTTGATCTCACCATTTTGGAGAGCATTTGCTCCCATGAATTCCACAATTTTTTTAAATTTTTTGTATGTTAGATAAACCAGATATCTTCTGGTCTAAAAGCTCGGGACGGGGTGAATAGAAACTTGGAGGTGAAATAGAAACAAGTATGGAGCATTTGTTGAAAAAAATCACAAAGTTCTCAAATTTAATTCTGTATAGAAACTTCAAATCCTACGTGGTTTACATTTTACTTATCTGCCATTGGCAACGCTGTTTCTCCGTGACACCTGTGCATTGCTGAATAAACTTTATGTACTAAGGCAAGAAAAAATCAAGATATAATCTAATTCTAATATATCAAGTGGTTTTTGACACATATATAGATTTTTTAAACATATAACATATTTTTTGTGCCTATTTGCTTGCTGTGTTTCTATTGACCCGTATTTATGGTATATTTCCTATTTTGCAGATTTTGAGTTGACCACTACCTCAATTATTTAATAAACTTGTTTTCATTCACCTCAGATGGTTAACAAGCGGATAACGTGCTAAAACAATTGCTGTATCTATTTATTCCGCCTGGAAGGGGGATAGAAAATCACATTTGAATTCATTTTTCAAAACTCTGTTACATGCCCTCTTTTCAAGTATACCTAGATTACCTAGCCATTACACCCTTTCTCCATTTTTTTCTCTGAATAATGTGAACGTCAACTCGGCAACACAGTCTGAAAAATCGAAATCTATCGATTGACTCGATTTTACGGTACCGAAAACGCGCAAAAAAGTGCGAGATTTTGAAATATTAATGGAAGAAGATACATAAATCA